TTATCTTAACAATTTTCATTGCTGAAGTTTGTTGTCCAACTCTCTGGGCTGCATCTTTGCTCTTGTTTGTGCTTCTTTATCTGTTGTCTCCATCTTCGCTTCTTACTCTGATTTCTTTCTCTGAATTCCTCTATCTCAAACTGATGAATTTTCATTAACTTAACTTTTAACACAAACAGTTTCGTTGATGTGGCATCAAACACGATTGCAACTATGTACATTAATGTATCTGTTAGCTCACAGTACTAATTAGTTTTGGAGCGGGGTTCTCCCACGCTCCGCTTGGTCCTCTGTCCTCTCTGTCTTCTGTCTCCTCTGCTTCATCTCTTTCCATTTGATGAAAGCTCTGTTGAAATCAAACTGCTCTTGCGGAGGGCCAAGCTCTGAAATCAGCATCAGATTGGTGAGGTTTACGTTATTCAGAGAATTTCTGAATCTTGTTTTTATCCTGTTTTGTGTGCTGAATCCGCGTTCACATGACACACTGGCAATTGGGATGACTAAAGCGATCTTAATGAGCTTCTCCATTTCAGTGAACACACCCCGATGGTCACTCAAAACAGCCTCTGCAAACTGCTGGAAGGTCAATGAGGCGTACGAGTCACTGGAAACCATAGTTTGCTTCAGCAAGGCAAACTCCGAGCGTCCATCCACTGCACTTACATAGTTTGAGAAGTGTGCAAGAAGGTTGTCGAGTTTTTCAAGGCCATAATGAGAAAAGTTATCGGACTTTTTTGCCATAATGGCTTTTGTTGGCTCCAAAATCGTAAACCATGACAGAACATCCAGTGTCTCACAGGGGAATCTTCTCTCAATCTCTGTTATTAAAGATCCCACGTACCTGCTCTTCATGTCATCAAAGGCTGGTTTTTGGGTGTGGCAGTCAAAAATTTTGTCTCCTTTAAACTTGTTTCCATCAAGAGAGCTGAAGAATTCAGTTTCTGCAGGGCCAGGGTGGACGATTATTTCCTTCAGGGCTTCTTTGGTACTTTCAACCATTGGCTGTGCTGTGGAGAAGTCCAGATCTTCTCTTGGAAAATGTTTTGAGAGAAGGACTACATGCATCAGTACGTCCTTCATCATGTGACAAAGAGCCACAAAGTTAAACTGTCTCACAGCTAGTAGCAGACCTTTAGCTTTGTCAGCATCTTGTGCATTAGAGGAAGCCATGTGCTCCAGGACATCTCTCAGGGATTTCAGTGATCTACACACTACCGACACTGCATTGTGAATTGACAGCCACCTTACTGCATGCGGCTGGGTGAACTTCAGTTGGGGTTCATCCAGCTGTTTCTGCAATTCATGCAGCTTGTTGCTTCTGACAGCAGAATTACTGAAAAAAATAAAAATTGATCTCAAATCCTGCTGAAACCGTTTCACCTGTGGCACGGAGTTGGCTGCATCACTGGCAGCAAGTGCGAGACGATGAGCCGTACAGTGGATTCCTACCAGGTCTGGGTTGTATAGCTCTCTGAGCTTTTTAATAACTCCTTGTCTGCATCCTGTCATTACAGCAGCTCCATCAGTGCAAACTGCAGCAAGTTTTTTTCCATCCAGTTTTTTTTCTGTCAATAGCTGTTTTACATCTTCAACAATAGTGTCTGCTCTTCCATCAGCAATTTCAGAATTCCTTATCAGTTTTGTTTTGACGTTGTTGTCATCTATGAACCTGACATAGATAATCAGTCGTTTGGTGTTACTAATGTCAGTAGATTCATCGAATATTAATGAAAACACGAGACTTCTTTCAACAGCTTTGTCAATATCTTCCACAAGTGTGCTTGCAATAGCTTGCTGCATTTCTGACAGTCCTTTTTCATTGATGTAGCTACCATAGCTTGATGTTTCTGTAAGTTTTTTGAAAGCAGGACACTCCATTTCTTTCAGGAATTTAACCACATGGCAAAATTTAGCTTTTGCCATTTCATTTTTTGCAATAAAATATGCAGTTTTCAGGAGCCCCTTCATTTCTGCAGCAGACTGTAAATGTGCATCTTCGATAGCTTTGGTCATTACACTTTTAGCTGAATCCGCCTCACGTTTTCTTTTTATTGCTGCAGTGTGAGACACACCATCAGCGTGACGACGTAAAGTTGATGTTTTGTAGCATCGACTTGCAAAAGGCACAGCGCCGTACATCTTACAAATGGAGCAGTTCATTTCACCATTGTTATTTTCAAGCCAGGGATACAGTCTGAGCCAGTTAGCCTGAAACTTATCTTTAGGCTGCTTGCTAACGTTACGTTCAGTGGCACTACCTTTTTGAAAGTCCGGAGGATCCGTCTCATTCACAGCATCGCTGGAATCGGCGCTGCCACCCGCCCTGCCTCCAACGCCTCCTCCCTCGCTGCCTTCCGTGCTGGGGATTTCTTGTACAGTTTTTTTGGGAGCAGGTTCCCCTTCGTTGTTAGATTTCCGTTTTAACCAGCGGTCCATGTCTGCATGCAGGCGTTAAATCCGACAACCGAAGCACTGCTTTGCTGCTAGCAAGGGACTGAGCTCGTATTTTGATAAGTGGAGAAAAAAAAAAATCCAGCGCGCCGCCAATCACCAAGATGAAGAACGGTTTCGATGTTGTGGGATTTTAATGGCTCCGATACAAACGTCCACATTCGCTGCAGGCTGTGCGGGACTTTCCCGCATTATAAAACTGGATTTGCGAGAAGCAACTATATAACGCGCAATACCCGCAATCCCGCAGTGAATTTCAGGCCCTGTGATTTATGACTGAACACAAATCAGGGATCATTAAATGAAGCTCATCTGTGAGTGAGACCAGAAACAAGCATGGTACTCTGGCACTTTTCAGCGTTCCCTTCATTTTTTTATATTGGTGTTCCTTCAAGAATATTGTGACACAGATTGTGAAGTTTGGGTGTTTTAAACCGGTGCAGAGGATAGAGGCTGTTGTGTTTATGTAATAGTTAATAGTTGTTGGCCTGGTCGGTCAAATGGCTATTCTTTAACCTCCCTGAAAATTCAGATCAGCTGAAACCGCTCTGGTCCTTCACATAAGTGGCTCATCGTGATGCAAGCAGGAAAGGAGAGAGGTTTTTGAATAGTTGTGACTAGGGGTGGGAATTGATAAGTTTTTATCAATATCAAAGACTTAGTCGATTTTTTTTCTCCTATCGATTCAATTCCAGAGTAGTTCAATAGGTGGCAAAACAATTGCAGTAATGACAGAAGAGGACGTGTGAACATCACCGCTGCTGTGTTTAAATTCACTAGTTTGGAGGGGGTAAAAACACGTCATTGACTTTAAGTTATTGCGTGTTTTGTGCCCAAATGCTTTTGCATGTTTTTAGTGTTTCCTACTCTTGGTGAAATATCTACTTTGCAATTTCTCCAAGTTGCTCTGTTGTAATCCTTTCTTGTAAAAAATAATTAACAAATTGTCGAGCTTTGTGTGCCTTAAGCGCCATGTTTCCTGCTTCCGTAAGCTACGCAACGTGCGTGGCGACGCCATTCGCGCAGAATGGAATTGATGAGGGGAATTGTTTTGCCAAAGTGGTGAACAATACCTAGGAATTGAAACAGTGGGAACTGGTTCTCTACAAGAACCGGTTTTTGATTGCCACCTAGTTATGACACATTTGTGGTTTATATTTTTATAAATTTAGACTGTGCTGCATTTCATTTCTTAACAATAAAGTTTCATTCCAACATCAAATTTACTAAATAGATTTTATGGTGTAATAAAAATGTACAAAACGGACGAGTTTGATTTATTTAGATGTTTGCCACCTTGGCCACTTCGAGTTCTAGAGACATCCTGATTAAACATGACATAAAAATAGAAAAACTCTTATGGATGAAGAAAATACACCAAAATAAAATCACAGCTTCTTTCTGCCAGACAGCAATGCAGACAAGGACAAAGTCCCATAAATGTCCTGTCCCCATGTTTGGTGTTTATCCAGTTAGCTGCTGTTCAGTCCCCCTGCTTTACACTGCACTGTCAGCTGTATGGAGGACTCATGGTTTCTGACACACACACACACACACACAGTCTTTGTGTTGTCTGGTCTAGCTGCAAAGCTGCTTAGTGCTTATGCAGCTTCAGGCTCCAGCAGAGTTCAAGATGTGAGCGCTATCATTAGCTTCTAATCGGTAAACACAGTGAATGGATTCTGGAGCAAATGTTGCCAACTTTTGCTGTTTTTAAAGAATAAAACTAACCATTATGTGTCAAAAGAAATAGAAATTAAAAGTACACGCTGTGCACCTTTGGACACTAAAAACACCCTTTTTGATAAACTGTTGGTCACATGATCACACAAGAAAGATCAGCAGAATTCCATGGGACACTCAAAAAATGATACCTCAGTTACACAGCATCATTTTCTTTAGCTCTTCAGTGTTGGTCCAAAATAGTGAGGATCTTTGCAAGCTTCAAATATCCATCCGTCCATCCATTTTCTGAACCCGCTTGTCCACGCAGGGACGCGGGGGGGCTGGTGCCTATCTCCAGCGGTCAATGGGCAATCAGGCGGGGTACACCCTGGACAGAGAGCCAGTCCATCGCAGAGCAACACAGAGACACACAGGACAAACAATCATGCACACACACACTCACACCTAAGGACAATTTAGACAGACCAATCAACCTAACAGTCATGTTTTTGGACTGTGGGAGGAAGCTGGAGTACCCGGAGAGAACCCACGCATGCACAGGGAGAACATGCAAACTCCATGCAGAAAGATCCCAGGCCGGGAAGCGAACCCAGGACATTCTTGCTGCAAGGCAACAGCTCTAGCCACTGCGCAGCCAGCTTCAAATATCATCTAGAAATGTACCTTAATTTTATTTACTTGCAGGATAAATCAAACGGGCACAAGTTAGTTTCTTTGATGAACATAGTTTTTTAATTTCAGTTAAGTGATGTTTGTCTGTCACAAACAAATCTGCCACTGCTTATCGTTACAGATCATATGTGAGGTTTTAACGGAGTAAAAGATGTCACCCTAAATATCTGTGTTTTTGTTGTCTTGCTCAGGTGAAGGACATGTTGCATTTGTGAGACATTTGGACCATTGTGAATACTTGTGGAGCCTCATCCTGGTTAACCGCATTATCTCCTGGCCGCTTCCATCTCCTTGGCTCGCTCTCTTCTACCTCTGAGCCTCTGACAGATCAGACTCCTCCCCAACGCTGCACGCTTCCCTGTCGAACTTCCTACATCACCTCATCCTCACCTCCTAGAGAGGGAGAGAGCAGCAGCCACCATGGTGCTGTCACAGAGACAAAGGGATGAACTGTGAGTGTGATAACATTTGGAATTACAGGCTCATTACACACACAAACAAGAACAGGCATGTACACCAACACGGAGATAAATGGCTGCATTAAAATGTGCATTTAGGGCAGAAGCTCATGAAAACCCGCATGATTTCCTGTTAAAGTTACCCAGAAACATTCCCACAGACGAGGAATCGGAGTACAGGTCCTTCTAAAAAAATTAGCATATTGTGATAAAGTTAATTGTTTTCTATAATGTACTGATAAACATTAGACTTTCATATTAGATTCATTAGACACACTTGAAGTAGTTGAAGCCTTTTATTGTTTCTAATATTGATGATTTTGGCATACAACTCATGAAAACCCAAAATTCCCCATCTCAAAAAATTTGCATATCACGAAAAGGTTCTCTAAACGAGCTATTAACCTAATCATCTGAATCAACTAATTAACTCTAAACACCTGCAAAAGATTCCTGAGGCTTTTAAAAACTCCCAGCCTGGTTCATTACTCAAAACCGCAATCATGGGTAAGACTGCTGACCTGACTGCTGTCCAGAAGGCCATCATGCAACAGGGTAAGACACAGAAAGAAATTTCTGAATGAATAGGCTGTTCCCAGAGTGTTGTATCAAGGCACCTCAGTGGGAAGTTTGTGGGAAGGAAAAGGTGTGGCAGGAAACGCTGCACAACGAGAAGAGGTGACCGGACCCTGAGGAGGATTGTGGAGAAGGACCGGTTCCAGACCTTGGGGGACCTGCGGAAGCAGTGGACTGAGTCTGGAGTAGAAACATCCAGAGCCACCGTGTACAGGCGTGTGCAGGAAATGGGCTACAGGTGCCGCATTCCCCAGGTCAAGCCACTTTTGAACCAGAAATAGCGGCAGAAGCACCTGACCTGGGCTACAGAGAAGCAGTCTTGGACTGTTGCTCAGTGGTCCAAAGTACTTTTTTCAGATGAAAGCAAATTTTGCATGTCATTCAGAAATCAAGGTGCCAGAGTCTGGAGGAAGACTGGGCAGAGGCAAATGCCAAAATGCCTGAAGTCCAGTGTCAAGTACCCACAGTCAGTAATGGTCTGGTGTGCCATGTCAGCTGCTGGTGTTGGTTCACTGTGTTTTATCAAGGGCAGGGTCAATGCAGCTAGCTCTCAGGAGATTTTGGAGCACTTCATGCTTCCATCTGCTGAAAAGCTTCATGGAGATGAAGATTTCATTTTTCAGCACAACCTGGCACCTGCTCACAGTGCCAAAACCACTGGTAAATGGTTTACTGACCATGGTATTACTGTGCTCAATTGGCCTGCCAACTCTCCTGACCTGAACCCCATAGAGAATCTGTGGGATATTGTGAAGGGAAAGTTGAGAGATGCAAGACCCAACACTCTGGATGAGCTTAAGGCCGCTATCGAAGCATCCTGGGCCTCCGTAACACCTCAGCAGTGCCACAGACTGATTGTCTCCATGCCACGCCGCATTGAAGCAGTCATTTCTGCAACAGGATTCCCAACCAAGTATTGAGTGCACAACTGATCATAATTATTTGAAGGTTGACTTTTTTTTTTTGTATTAAAAACTTCTCTTTTATTGGTCGATGAAATATGCTAATTTTTTTAGATAAAAGGATTCAACTACTTCAGTTGTGTGTGTAATGAATCTAATATATATGAAAGTCTAATGTTTGTCAGTACATTACAGACAATAATGAACTTTATCACAATATGCTAATTTTTCTAGAAGGACCTGTAAATGTTAAAAGCTGTGAGCTCAAGGTGCTTCTCTTGATAGCTGCTTCGTGAATATTTCATAAGATACATGATGGGAGCAACAAAGTGGGTGGGATGGGCAACAAGTGAGAAGTTAACTCATTCACTGCCAGCCGTTTCCTGATGGCTAACGGCCTTCACTGCCAGCGTTTCTCACCGTTTTTACTGTTTTTTTAAGAGTCACAGAACGTTGCGCGCTAGGATGATGTCGATGCCAAAACAACCAAAACAAAGAGGAGACTCACCTCTTAAATCAGGAAGAATCCGTGTGTTTCGAGCGTTATTCATTCTTTCATAATCCGTTGTTGAATTGTGATCGGCAGACACTTCCGGTTCGCGCCTCACTTTTTTTTTACAGGAACGGCCCAAAACGATCTCCTAATACATGGATGGTCTGCTTCCTGATCATGTGACGTATGCGGATGAAGATCGGCTTCAGGGCTGAGATGTTTGTTCTCTCAGCGCGGGGGCTCGTTCCGATGCTCAAACAGTAAAAAAAAAAATGTAAATGACGACTTTAGTCGTCATTGGCAGTGAATGAGTTAAGAAAGTGATGGCTGGTTTTATGCAGTTGTTATTGCTGGACTGATTGTTTATAACCCCAATGCCGTCAATAAAGGGATCACGTGTTAAATCGTTTTTTTTTTGTGATGATTTTGTGCGACAAAATACCTGAAATCCAACAACAAGCGATGGTTTAATCTTTCATGTCTGCGTGGGTTCATGTCTGCGTAGGGTTTAAATGAGGTTACAGTCACAAAACCTGAGTCTATATTTAGCTCTTTCATGAAATATTTACCCATGATCTCATGAAAGAGCCCTTCATTTACATAAGTGTGTTTGTTTAAGGTTTCCTTCTACTTCTGGGTTACCCCCTCTGCATTGTCCTGCTTACTAATAAGGTCTTGTTGTTGTCAGTCTCCCGTTTCCATAGCAGCACAAACACTATTCCTAAATATTCACTATAGATGCTTCTGTTCCCCTTCTGAGGAGTTGGGATGATGCTGTAATTCATTTATGGTGACTAAATAAAACTGCATTACTACTAAATACATGAATTGATCATGTGATAGAATATGTGATAAACAGTACCTCCTAACAAATCTTTATTGCTTTCCTAGAAATCGAGCTATAGCTGACTATCTTCGCTCCAACGGATATGAGGAAGCCTATTCTACTTTCAAGAAAGAAGCAGAGTTAGATATAGTAAGGATGGACGAAAGCATAAACACGTGTTTTCATGTTGTACGGTGAGCCTTTTCTCAGGGTGTGTGCTTTGGTTGTAGAATGAAGAGGTAGATAAGAAGTATGCAGGGCTTTTGGAAAAGAAATGGACTTCTGTCATCAGATTACAAAAGAAGGTGAGGAATGTCTTCAACTGTTGTTTAAAATAGTTTGGAAAAGAATAGACTGAATGTTCTGTATTTGCCCAGATAGTTTTTAATGTGTTGCTCTTTGATTTTTCTTCAGGTGATGGAGTTGGAGTCTAAGTTAAATGAGGCCAAGGAGGAGATGACATACGGAGGACCTGTGGGTCAGAAGAGAGATCCTAAGGAGTGGATTCCCCGTCCCCCAGAGAGATACGCCCTGAGTGGGCACCGTGCTCCAGTCACAAGGGTCATATTCCACCCCGTATTTTCTGTCATGGTCACAGCCTCTGAGGATGCCACCATCAAGGTGTGTCCATGTTTCCAAACAGGGTCAACACACTGACCTCATGTTGTTATTACATCCACTCAAGATAGAACACAAGGAATAAATAATTTAGTCTCCGATCCACCAAGAGTCTTAACTGGGGTCAGAGTGGTAATTAATGTCCCCAGGAAAATATTTTGTTCACATTTTCTCAAAATGATGTGCATTTGGTATAAACCGTGCTTATTGGGGCTGAACAATCTCGCAATTTCAAAAAGCACGATTACGTGACCATCAAAGCTGCAGTTTTTAGCGGTTCTGACTGATCCAGGCTCTGTTATGTCGACTTTTATTTATTTATTTTTTTAACTTTACATCCGGGGTTTCTCCCTGTGTCACTGCAGCGGCAACCGCCAGCGAGGGGGAGGAGCCGAGCCCAATTCCACAGCTGACAGAGCTGCATGTTTAGGTTATTTTCCCTGTTTTATTTTGCCACCCACCGTGCTGCTAGAGCCGATAATAATGGCCCTGTAGGCGAGTTAGGGAGAGAGACTCCTCCCACATCAGGGCAGTTTCAGGTTGATGTTTAAAGCTTGGTTTATGCTTCATCAGCACGAATGTGGAGTCGTGCCTTTTAGTTCAATTGAAAGTTCAACTTCTCTTTTAAAAACGGTTTGATTTTTCTGATTGCACACGTTACTTTAAACAAGCTAACGCATCAGTGTCTCTCTTTCAATGTGTAAAGCCTGGTTTATGCTTCTCCATCAGCTCCGCAAGGGACAGACACGCACGGATTGACGGAAGCATTTTGCTCTTTTACTTCTCCGTCTCCTGGAGAGTGTTGCAAAGCAATTGCCCGGCAGGACAACAGAGGGCGTAGCGCTGTTCTGTGGTATCCTGTCATGTATCGGTCCAAGATCGTGTGTTTATATTGTGTTTTTTGTGTATATAAGAGACTTTTAACACGGACATATTTGTCTCTCATTCTCCCACCGCTTCATGCGCTCGCCACCTCTAAACCCACGTTTCCTGTCATTTCCGTCCACAAATAAAACGCTTGCTGCGCATCTTTTCACTCCTCCAGTCACGGGAGGATGAAACGTTCATATTTTTAGAGTTTTTTCGCGAGGTATTCTTCAAGCTTCTCCGTGTCTGCCGCTAGTTAAACTCGGCTCTCTTTGCAATGGCAGCGCTGTAAACAACAGCGGCGTCCTGACCAATCACAAGCTTGCGTAATCCATTTCGTTCGACGGATGTTTTAAAAAAGTGGGCTCGACTCCGTGCCTGCCGGGGCCCTACGCAAGGACGGATAATGGCGTTGCGTATCTCCGCACTGACGCAGACGGAGAAACATAAATCAGCTTTAAGACTCTCTCACAGAGCTGACCGCAGCATGAACTAGGCGAAGTTTTAGTGAGGAAAAACTATCAGACGACTTTGAAAAACGTGCAGCCAGCCTGCCTCGGCAATGCAGAGGAAACTATGCATGTTTTGTTATTTAATACATATGAAAGCTGTTTCTACCTTCGGATTTCATCCTTGCATTTTTGTAGTAGAACAAGAACATGTTTTTTTATGAAGCACCTAGATAAAAATCACAAGTTGCTTCACAAGCACAAAAAAAGATCTAAATATAATAATGGGAGAAAATGTTAATAGCTTTAACTGTTTTTATTGTATGATTAGATAGTAAATATTATTGTGATTGATTTGTTTTACTAGATTAGAAACTAGACCATATTTTCACTTAATGGCAGGCCAGTGTTTGAAGAAAATTGTGAACTGATCTGAAATCGCAATTTCTGCTAGAAAAATCGCTATTCAGTCTGTTCCTAAACTCGTTCAGCCCTGGTGCTCATCAAAACAATTTGGTTTCAAACAAAATGAAGGCAAAGCTCTGTACTTAAATGTGAGATGTTATATAAAATTCAAAGTGTTTTTATTCTAGTTTGATAATGGAAGACTGAAGTGGCTCAGCGGCTGTTGTTTTCTCTGGTTGTAGGTGTGGGATTATGAGGCAGGAGACTTTGAGCGAACCCTCAGAGGACACACGGACTCGGTGCAGGACATTTCTTTTGACCAGACAGGAAAGCTGCTGGCTTCATGTTCAGCTGACATGAGCATCAAACTTTGGGACTTTCAGGGGTTTGAGTGCATCCGAACCATGCATGGTGAGAAATCCTTTCAGTTCCTGAAGAAATTGTTCCTACAAACGTGAATCTGTTACTGGATTTTAGTTTCTCTGGGACTTTTTAGTAACCCCAACCCTCTGCTTCTTGGGTATGAATATGAACACAGATCAGTGATGCTTGTTGTGTCTTTCAGGTCACGATCACAATGTGTCGTCTGTAGCCATCATGCCAAATGGGGACCACATAGTGTCTGCCTCCAGAGACAAGACCATGAAGATGTGGGAGGTGGCTACTGGGTAAGGAAAAGGAAGATGCGGCTTTAAATTCCCTTTATTTTACAATTTTAGTTACTAATTATTTGTCACTGGTTCAATTTCTAAGTGAATGGGTTGTTTTTCCTGTCTGCAGGTATTGTGTGAAGACATTTACAGGCCACAGGGAGTGGGTGAGGATGGTGCGTCCAAATCAAGACGGCTCATTGATCGCTAGCTGCTCCAACGACCAGACAGTACGTGTCTGGGTGGTGGCATCAAAGGAGTGCAAAGCTGAGCTGAGGGAGCATGAACACGTGGTGGAGTGTATTTCATGGGCTCCTGACAGCGCTCACCCCACCATCCTGGAAGCTACAGGCTCAGAGGTGAACGTTAGTGCTTCAGAGTGAATTTACCTCGTGAGGATGCTTTTTTCATGTTGATGTTTGTCAGCAGAGTCGTTCACAGTTTAAACAATAGTTTCAAGCTGTTGAAACAGATTTGATAGTTTTCTATTTCATACAGTTTGATGTGTCTGAAGATATTTGTGCTTCATTTTCGTGGGTGAGTTAAGTTATGCTGATGTTGCCAGCCTCTGTGAAAAGCTCTAACCAAACTAAATCCCAACATAACACGTTAATGTTCATTGATAGTAATTGTTTTAAGTTGAGTTAGTTGCTAATTGATGCAATAATTACTGATGAAACATCACAACTGATCAGAAAAAGCTGATATTATATAACTCTGCTTTCTGAGGAAATACAAAAACTTGTTTAGTAATGTAAATAAAACCAAACTGCAGTCACTTTTCTAAGCCCTTTAGCTTCTGTTAACAAGTTAAAGACGAGCTTTCTGAAGCCCTTTTTACAAGACACACCGCACAGGCGAATCGGCTTATTACCGCAACGGTGTGTCTTAAGCCCTTTTCAGATAGACATTCTGGAATATGTGTGGACAAGTCAATCCGGTTTTTAACCGGAACTGTGTTTTCAGACACACCACTTTTGTACCGGAACTTGTCTTTTCGGCTGCGTTCACAAAGCAGGGAAAAGTTCCAGATGTCTGGCGGCGGCGGGGGGTGGTGGGGGGTGGTGGCGGAATCGGACTTATGTTAAGAAGAAGAAAATATAATTTCTATAGCGCCTCTCAAGATAAAAATCACGAGGCGCTTAAGCATAATTCTGCGCACACGAAGACGCGCAGAGACCTGGATGATGAAGCTCAATGGTTAAAGGAATCACTGAAGCGGTGTGAAGCGCTCTGTCGCGCGTCTAGGCGGTACCGTAGGAGGCGAGCTGCCGTGGTTCGCCGCATGCTACAGGAGCGAGCTATCTAGGTGCGCACAGCGTCCCCCGGTCCCCTCCTCCTCCCCCTCCCCCGGAACTCGACCTCACCAGTCTGAAGCAGCCACCCTGTCCGTAACAAGTCCGGACCTGTTACTAGGGGCTTCGTCCGGTTAAATTCCGGAACACGTTATCCGGATGTTTGTATTCAGACACAAAGGTCTTACGGACAGAGTCCGGAACATTTCCGTTTTTCATGGCCTGTCTGAAGGGGGCTTTAGAAATGCACGGTGATGCGCAAATTTTGTGGCATTCGTTCTGCCTCGCATGGTAGTAATGTTACAGTAATTGTCTGTCTTATAAACAGCGATTGTGCCTTGGTACGACAGAGGGAGGTGTCATGATGACGTGGGGAGTTACTGCTGAGCTCCGGTCAGCAAATGAAAATAAACACGGGGCGTAAATTTTGCTTTTGTAAAGAGAATCAGCTGAGATGTTAAACTGAAGCGATGCAGCGCTCTTGGAGCTTCTCTCTGTTAGAGCTGCAGGTCCGATCACCAGAGCCTCCACGGGGACTGTGGAGGACAGGCACCTTTAGGAGCTGCTTGTTAAAAGATGTTCAACGAGCGCAGCTTCAATTGCAATATGCCCGAGATAAACGGAAGTCTGCAGCAGCGCAGAGACCACGCCCTTTATGCCTCCGTCGCGTAATGTTTTGTAATAAAGACACGATTGCTCCACATTACCTCTATGGTCTGACCACTTATAAAACAACCTAAGGCTCCCTGATGCTGCCATGCTGTTGCGGCAAATTGACAGCGTTTTGTAAAAACGGCTTAAAATAAAGCTGTTCTGTCATCGTTACTCTGCTTCCTCTAATAAAAACATCTTATTTATGATTAACTACATTGGAGTTTATGTGTGGGCAGACACCACTAATCATTTTTCTTCTTGTGTCTGTTTTCAGAGTAAAAAGAGTGGAAAACCTGGTCCCTTCCTCCTCTCTGGCTCCAGAGACAAAACCATTAAGATGTGGGATGTCAGCACAGGGATGTGCCTTATGACTCTGGTGAGTGAGTAGTCCTGAAGTGGTCTCTGTGTTGCTGAGAGTCCTGTGGGTGATTGGTCTTCTGTTTTTAGGTTGGACACGACAACTGGGTGCGTGGTGTGTTGTTTCATCCTGGAGGACGGTTCATAGTGAGCTGTGCTGATGACAAAACCCTCAGAATCTGGGACTACAAAAACAAACGCTGCATGAAGACGTTGTCTGCCCATGAACACTTTGTTACTTCTCTGGGTGAGACACAGTTTAGGCGTCTGCAGCTTTACACGTTTACAGATACACAAGCTTAATCCGAGCTGAAATGTTCTCAGCATGAACCTGAACAGATTTCTTTCCTTACTGTGCAGATTTCCATAAGACGGCTCCCTACGTGGTCACGGGCAGTGTTGATCAGACAGTGAAAGTGTGGGAGTGCCGCTGAGACTACCGTCAACTCTCGTCCTCCCGTTTTTCCCAGTTTCCCCTCTAAAAAAATGAAAGGAGGCCCTATCCCTATGTTTCCTAGCACCTTTCTCCCTTCGTACTGACGCCCAGCCCAGCTCCTCACCTTCAGCAGTCCAAACCATAGCTGACCAAGATGCTTAACCCCCCTCCTTGCTTCCCTACTCCTCTACATTGGTCCAGCCCTGTTAAGATGACTCATTGTCCTTTTTGTGTAAATTATTCTGGATGTAGGGTACGCTTAATAAATGTCACGCAATCTCTGACACATAAATACACTCAAAACCATAAGAAACATCTTTGCATGGTGACAACAACAACAACAAAAAAAGAAAAACAATACTGTTAGATCAAAAAATGTACTGTTTTTATTCTTTCCCATTGGGTCAAAGGGTAAATCTGTGTGTGCTGGCTCAGGTGTGTTCTGGTTAACTGACGGTGCACATAAACTAAAACCACCCCTCACTGAGGGGTTTAGGTTATGTGTTTAGTTTTTTCACTACATACCTCTGTTTTTGGGATCTGTCACTGTGATGTCAGTGGATGAAGATGTGAAGAAAGAACGTAAAAAAAAAAAAGAATCTGTCCAGAAGAGGATGAAGGAAAAAAGCAGGAAGCAGCTTCTCAGTTGAATCACATGAGGTGTGTGTGTGCGTGCGTGCGTGTGTGTGTGTGTGTGTTGACAGGAGAATCTTTCCGCTACCTCTGCTCTGGTGAGGAGACGGGAGGGAGAGCAGGCAAAGTTTCTCGCCTTCTGTGTTTCATACTTCATCTCTTTTAACAAGCTTGCTTTCTAGTCAACACTCACTGGGTCCTAGTGGTCCACAAGCTGCTGAGTGCACGGGCGTGAGCCCCAAAGTAAAAAGTCATTTCACTTTTCTAGGTGTGTGTGTGTGTGTGTGTGTGTGTGTCACTCCACAGAATCGCCCAGCGCCCTCTTACTCGCTCTCTGCCTTGTTGACCCATCCAGGGCTCCCTCAGATGGGTTTTCATTCAACTTTCTGTGGTCTCACTGCTCTACACACACACGAACACTCACAAATGCACATACACGCACAGTAAAAAGTTGTGTATCAATATATCTGGATGTCATTGTTTGCAGCATAATGAAATAAAAATCTGTAAATAAAAATGATTTGTGTTCCTTTTTTTAAAGGACGGCCTTACGAGCTGAAGGAGAGTCAGGAAGGTGACGTTTGGTTCTGTACCACATTCTCCAAAAATCCAACTTTACCTCGTCATCCCAGTGCTGTCATTTTCATCTTAATTTTGGTTTTGTCCTCGTGCGTGTTTGTACTTAGTTACGTTATTCAGTTCCTTGTGCAGTAATGGTGAGGTGATGGGTTAACCCTTTGATGCATAATGATCACTACAGTGGACAGGTACTCAAAATAGTTATTTATTTTTGCTATTGAGCACAGCTGTTGAAGACTATTACATGTGAGCCCCTCCATTTGTACTTCAGTAAGCCAAGCCAACATATTTCATGCTCAGAATGCACGCTGTCCACTGGGGTGGACATGTAATAAATTATTTGTAAATTATAAAATTTTACAAAAATTATTCATTGAAACTTGTTTCATTCACACCTAAAGACGAATGAAAAAAATTGTTTAAAAAATCATGGTTGAAGATTTCATAATTCATGCATCAAAGGGTTAAACCAAAAGTTTGACATTTAGATTTTACATTTAAATCAGGACGAAATCATTCATGGACTCATTACAGCCTGTTACAAAGAAAAACCTTCATCCTGAAATATTCAAAGGAACAATTTAAAGCTTTAAAAGAAAACTGGGTCACCAGACTTCCTCCCCTCCAAAAAAACCAAACTTGTTCTAGACAACCTTTATTATTTATGTGTAACTCAGACTGAGCTGCACTAGTGATATTTTATTTTGACCTTCTTTGCATCTCTGAGCAACAGCATGAGAAGGCACCATAAAACCAGTGCGTGGACCATAAGCTTGTGTATTTGTGATTGGTGAAAATGCATTGACAAGATTGAAAGTGGACATTTATCCCTCAGGCCCACTTCCACTCCAAGTGTCATTCAGAGGTAAAAGCGTCAGGAGGCAGCTGAGATGCATTAATTATGAATAGGACTGCAGCCTCCTGAGCTCTCACACACCTGCTCACTCACCCACACACTCTTCTGTGGTATCCTGGCAACCGTTTCCAGGAAGTTCAGTCCACCACACCTTTCCCTGTCCTCTTGAGTTTGTGAGGGTGGAAAGATCTGGGGTGACAGCTCCAACTCTATGTAGATGTCATAAGGAATTACAAAATCACAGTGATGGTAATAAAAACAACATTGGACAGAAACTGGAGATACTTCGTGAGACTCACTAAAACCCAAATCTGATGTTTCTCAGCAGAGGCACTGAAGTAGAAATATTGGCCTACATCCTCCCACCTTTTCCCTTGTTGGCTGCACACATCAAAGCATCTTTGATGAGTTTTTGCCTGAGAAAGTCTAAGGAGCTACAGATTCGTGAGTTAATGTTGATCCAAATAAAACATTGTGACCAGAATGTTCTGAGATGTTTTAAGGTCGGTGTTCACGGTGCAGAGTCATGATTACACCCCTCAGAGTGGAACAACTTTCAAAAAGCAGACTGACATCTTGCTACTGATTTGTGCAGTTATTTTTAGTGTATCCGGTGTAAACGGGCCGGACGGCTGCAGGGTCTCTGGTGGTTTATGGGTTTATGTGTCATCTCCTGGCACATCTCACATGAGTCTCACTGTAGTTGACGTGACTTGCATTGTGATCCCTGCAGAAAAAGGATGAGAAGAGCTGCAGAATTGCAGGATGCGGCGCCCCCTAGTGGACCTCTAATGCTCATATTTGCATCAACGCTCATTCATTGTTCCCCTTGATGCTGCAATTTTATTTCTATAATTTAAAATAAAGGATTACGTTTTTTTTCCAGATTTAGTATAAAGAGTCAAAATTACATCTTACAACCCAAATAGAGAAAAATGAAACTCAATGTGTTTCAATAATTATGTTAATGGATTTTCATGAAAACAGCCTCGTCTCTAAAGCAAAAGGCAGCATGATTACATGAACATTCTTGTCTCCTAAAAAGGCTTTTTTGGTTTTTCACCTTTGCAGAAAATCAATTCTAGTGGAATGTTAACATCATTTTTGGCTTTTGTGAACATGACACAAACAACAAATCCATTTAAATCTAAATGGAGATCTAACATATCTATTCACCCTCTTGACTCCACTCCTTTCCTCCTCTGCTTTGCTTCCTTTTTAGTCACACAAGTGATGCAGCACTTCTAACTGGGTCGGCCCATCCCTTTCTCCCATCCTTCCCACCTACTGTCTCTCCAAGGCACTCCTCCTCCTCCTCCTCTGCTTCCTTCCTCCTAACACACAGCTCTGTAATTTTTTCATTACATGCAGCTCATGTGCTTATCATGTGCTGCATCCTTGTTAAAAAATGTCTTCACTCATTGTGCCTGATAAATGGGCATTCTCATGCATTATGTCATATAACTCATTAGCCTGATGCTAAATGACTCCCAGCTCTGCAGACACAAAGTGGATTTCTCATTATTATTAGTTTGATTTTGAGACGATAGTGTCCATATGTGGACGGAGGGTACATGACATGCTAATGGAAGTGACCGTGTACTTCTGAGAAGCTGTTTATGATTGGCTGATAATGTCAGACCTTGTGGTGAAGAACATGCTGTCCATTCAAAGACTGTTACCATGCAGTCACCCGTAAGCTTTCATACGTGCACTGATATACAGGCAAATATTATGTCCTAACATTATTAATAACACACAATAATTAATGTTCCTCATAGGGGAACACATTGCACAAATCACTGCCGTTATCTCTTGTCAAGCATATAAAAAATTAACAATGTCATTGAACTTTGGGGAAGGCAAAGTAGGAATGAAAATGAGAAGTAAAAGCAGAAATGAAAGGTTCATTTTAGACGGTGAGAATTTTTAAAAGCGATGCCTGAAAAGCAAACTGATCTTGGAGTAATTCAGTGAGCACTGCAGGCTGAAACCCATCAGAAGACAGGAAATCTGTAATTAGTTTGTAAAATACTACAAAATGATAATCAAAAAGACACTAGGCCTACTGTGTTAATTATGCTTAGATAGAGGTCAGCATGTCCGATTATTTAGTCTACGTTCAAATTTTTAGTATATTCTCTCAGAACACGTCAAAGCATTGACGAAGTGGCTGGAAGAAGCTCTGATTGTCGGTGTACAGAGTAAATAGATGACAAAAAGCGGTTGTCAGCCGCTCATTCTGAGAAACGAGCCATTAGTAAGCCACGCCCCTCTGAGTTTGACTGACAGCTCTGATCTCGAGACAGTGGGGTGGCCAGTCACGCTCTCGCCATGCAAATGAGCAGAACTCGGGCCGGGCGGGTGCCCATGTGGACCAGCACCATGCCTTGTTGTTCTGAGCGCTGATTGGCTCACTCGCGCCTGATCTGTCTTCATGCGCTGCGGGCAAGCTGCGCGGACCAAAACACGGAGCAACTTTGACGTCAGACGATACTTCCTCAATCGAATTTTATGTAAATATGCCTCCAAACGAGGTGTTTATTTGTTCGCGTGGGTTTTAGATGTTGATTACAGAACTGTAACGTTTAGAACGGACAGTTTTGACGGGTCGAAAACACGCCAAAACTGGAGGCGCAGAGGGTCAGTCTCCGGGTTTTGGTTTTGCCCGTAGTAACAGGGCGGGGCGGGAATCCGGGAGGGGCGGGTCTTAATGAGAACACGACTCGCCTTGTTGTGTGTATTCCCGTGCTCGCATCGCCATCTTGTTGCGATCCTATTTTTTACGTATGCGAGGATCTACTTTCTGTTCGCCCGGATTAAAAATTAGCCGAGACATCAGCAGAAACACGAGGGGCGAAGCGTCCGAGCATACGGCCGTGAACCGCAGATACGGAGCTTACTACCGGGACACCACCTACCCCGCTTTCTTTCCCCCCCTTTTCCCTTCCTATCCGCCCCGGGGCCGCCGGGTCCTCTGTTTTAGGCTTTACGCGAAATGAGTATTGATACACTTCTGGAGGCGGCCAGGTACCTGGAATGGCAAGCCCAGCAGCAACAACAAACCAAACGTGGTAAGTTGAGTCGCGGACTGCCGCAGCTTTACGTGCACGACCACATATAACAGTGTGTCCTGACACCTTCAGGTGCTTTCTTGTGGAGCTGGGACCCGTTGCTACCAGCGACAGGAACAAATGTTTTTCACACTTTAAGAGAAGTCGGATCGGTTTGAAATCCTGCTAGTTTAAAAAGAGTAGCTGGAAGTGATAACCAAAGTACTTCTCAATGTACTCAACACCCACCCTAATGCGGAAACGGGCAAAGTTGTTTTCTGAACTACTTCGCGCGCCTGTGTGTGTGTGGTGTGTGTGTGTGTGTGTGTGTGTGTGTGTGTGTGTGTGTGTGTGTGTGTGTGTGTGTGTGTGTGTGTGTGTGTGTGTGTGTGTCACAGTTTCGACACTTGTGACTCACCGTAAGCGCGCGCGTGAGTGTACTAGATGCATAGTGGAGTTCCTTATCTCTGCTTAATTTAAATATAATGCTTTAACCGAGCGTGTCTACGCATTTCATAAACATCTGTTTAATCAAAGTAGTTTTTTTTAAACTAAACAAACGTTTTAAAATAGTTTTACTCCTCGGCTTGACGTTTATTCGTCAGGAAAGGGTGCGTCTAGATCGGTTTATCCCCTAAAATTGTGTCCGTCGAGCACCGGCAGGGCGGTGGCGAGCAGAGGCTGTTCTTTACATAATACCCTGACACTGCTCAGCTATCTTATGACACACGCGCACTGGGGCGGGCCACGCGCCTGCTGCTGCGTGAATGTGAATACAGAGTTTAAACTTCCAAATGTCAGTCTGCGCCTCGCGTTTGTTGTCGAAAGCGATGCGTTTTAATTCGACGTGAGTAGGTGAGAGAGGATAAAAGCGGGGGGGCTCTTTTTGTGTGTTTTTTTTTACCCCGCTGATGACGTGTCAGACAACCCCCATCACCCCCCCCCCCCTCTCCTGCATACTTACCCTACCGCGTGCTAGGGTCCACCCACAGCTACCACGTGCGCGTCACCCCTCTCCCCTCCTCCCTCTACACGCTCTGTCGTCACCGCCCTTCCCATTCAGATGGCTGACAGTGGCGCGTCAGAGACAGACATGGGGGGGGGGGTTAAGTAGGACAACTCCCTGCTTTTTACACCCCCCCCCCCCCCCCCCAGCTCGGCCTCTGTCTCCAAACGAGTTATCTGATTTACGTTTTTGTGGATTTTACTATAACATCAACCCTCTGGGCCACAAAGATTATGCAGCTTTTCTCTCTAATCTCAGATGTCAAAAATCATATTAAACCCAAACGATTTTCACTGCTCTGTTTATAGATGGCAAGAGTCAAGGTTGCATAATTTTTCTCATTTTTTATTGTATTGCAACTGAACACCTGCATAAAGAGTTATAACCCTGCAATAAATGACACATCTACAGCTGATATACAAATCACTTAATTTATAAAATGATAACAGCGTGCAGCATGGAAAGTTTGTTTTTCCTGTGTCATCATGACAACAGTATCTATCTGTGCAAGGCCTCTCAGGGGTGAACTATTGCCCTTGGTGGAAGGAAATTGCGCCATCAGGGGTTTGCGGAGTCACGCAGGATAGAAACGAAAGTGTTGCTTAATATGCAGCCGGGCACTGTGGCGCGGCAGCGCTTCTGCTTTGTTGGAAAGGATGGAGGAATCCCTGGGATCTTCTGTGCCTAATGTTGCTGTTTCCGTGGAAACCGAGGGTTTTCCACAAGTCTGCAGGCAGAGACGGTGTGCAAAGACTGCTCGTCTTTTCTGTTTTTGCTTGAAGTTATTTCATTGATCACTGCACAGCAGTGTTTTATTTATAGAGCGACACATTGCCAACGCAGATTGCCCCGAGCAGTCTTTTGGTTTTGGTCAGATGTTATGATGTCACCCAGGTTAAAGGCATGCTCAGTGCTGGAATCATCCAAACATCGAGCGGAGGGAGGGGTGCTTTGCCAGACACACTTTCTGTTTGTCACGTCCCCCTCCACACCCACAGTCTTCCCGATGACATCATTTTTCTGTGTGGACTTGTGTGTTTAGTAAAGAAAAGTTAGCAGTAAAACTCAGATTACCCAGAATTGTCTTGTGTCATTTGATTTTTGGTATTGATCAATTAAAGCAACCGTTTAAACTTTTTTAGCATGGAAAATTACTTTAATAGCTACACTCATCATTTTTCACAAAGATCAGGTTTCCCAGTGTGTGAATGACCCTCATGTTTGTGTTGATGTACTCCAGATTTATTTTGTTCTATTTGTCGTCTTAACTTGATCATTCCCTCATGTATGCTTCTCTCTCCCTCCCCCCCCCCCCCTTTCAGAAGATGAACAGTGTAAAGGAAAAGAGCTGAACAGCAGGGAGGCCGAGTCGAGGTGTGTGGAAGTTGTGACTTCCTCCCAACCAATCAGAGCCAATCACATCACTTGGGGCCATGACACTCACCGTCAGCAGCCGCCTCACCCGCCTGCCCCACCACCACCTTCTCTCCCACCTCCACAAGTCCCCATCACAGTCATCCCAATGGTTCCAGTTGTCAACGCGACTCCCTCTGTCCCACCACTCCCGCTTACAACGGCGATCGCAGCGGCGGCGACGTCGCTCAATAGTCCGCCACCTCTCAAGAAAGAGAATGTTTCCTCCCCTCTGCAGCAGCAGATAGCACCCCATCACCTGATGCCATCCCAAATCAAAGTAGAATCCACTCAGCAGCTGATTGATGTAAAGCCCAGCCTATCGCAAACTCAGGTTCAGATCCATTACTCAGCACACAACAGTACACATAGCTCCCTCGCACATCACACACTGGCTCCCCATCAAGCTCCGCCCACATCCCAGCCACGGCCAAATGGAGTGACGTTGGAGGACATGAGGGGGATGGATGGAAAGAGGAGGCCAGGAGGGTCAGTCCTTCTGTCCTTGTGTCTTGTTTATTTATAAAAAACATTAAAAGTTGTTGATAATTATTGTATGTTTTCAGAGCGGGGACCAGAGAGGTGCATAATAAGCTAGAGAAGAACAGGTGAGTTATAAATCAGCACATCATTGTGTCCTAAATAGGGTTGTCAAGGTGTGAAAATTTAACCTCACGGTTATTGTGACCAAAAATATCATGGTTTTCTTTATTATCGCAGTATTTTTTTAAACGTGTTACATTTTCAGACAACTAAATAAATCCTGTATATCAGGAAAATATTGTTCTCAGTTTGTGTCTAAATTTAGCCTAAAGTTTGTTATTTTGTAATTATGTTGTTTATTTGTTTAAATTTTTCCCCTTTAGTCTTTGAAATACCAATATTTGCCCATAACTTCTTATTTTATGTCTGTTTGATGTCATCATTTTAAAAATATTAGATCAGATGATACTCAGTACTCAAGTAGCCTTCTAATCAGGTACTTTTTTACCCTTACTTGAGTAATAAACCCTACATCAGGAAAATATTGTCCTCGGTTTGTGTCCTTCCAGTGAACATTGCAGATGTGGGTAAATGTCATCAGGCAGTAATCATTGTTAAATTCATAATTATTCTCAGAGAGAGACCAACTCTTACCTGCCCCTGGGAGCCCCGTAATGCATAGCGTCATTTCAACATGGGGGTGTCCGCGACACGGTTCATATGCAGGTAGCGGCGCTGCGGCTGCTTTATATAGCGACTCGTTGCATTCTCCCGCAACCCAAATCCTCGGATCACGCATTTTAGCTAAAACGCTAACTTGCCTTGCGTTCACTGTAGAGTTGTGGGTGATGGTCACGCAGATGTGTCATGAGATTTGAAGTGTTGCTGTCTTTCACAGACACTTTTTCTGCACGTGCTGCAAACAGGTTAGCCGTCTTCTATCAGCTGTCCCTCGGCATTCTTCAAATATCCAAAAAAATGCCCGTACTTCCGACTTTGTCTTCTATGAGGGATAATAAATGTCCTGAGTGCTGCCGTCTCCTCCTTTGACCATTATTTCAGCTTTAGCTTTAAGAAAGTTTTGGCTGTAAACAATAAAGCGCGCATGTGCCTCCGGCAACTTCAGCAGATGATACAGTGGTTGGTAAGGGTCACCGTGCCTACACCGCGGCCACGGTAATCCACGGAGATAATATATTTTTTTAAAAACAAGACGGTTATTATTTTTGTCAACTTTTTTACCGGGGTTTACCGCTACACCGGTTACCGTGACAACCCTAGTCCCAAAAGCATTTCCTCAACTTATTGAAAGCTGGGAATTTCACCCCAAACTAAATTAATTTTATGAGCCATCTCTAGCCTCCTAATGACGTTCACATTTAGCCTTTTTGTAATCCTTTTTTGGATGTTATAGGCGAGCGCACCTCAAGGAGTGCTTTGAGACGCTAAAGAAGAACGTTCCAAATGTTGACGAGAAGAAAACCTCCAACCTCAGCGTTCTACGCAGTGCTCTGCGTTACATACAGGTACAGGATGTTACCATTACACGTCATTGTTCCTACTGTAGTACTGTAGCAGTTAAAAGGTTCCCTTCTTCTTGTTCATGGTTCTGGTTTTTAGCTGACATTTGAGAGAAGCACAGGCTTCTGTGTAACTGATACACAACATGTGATTCTGAGTCCTTGAACCATTTAGTGTTGTGATTGATTCTTCTTTTACGTACAACAACTGGAGATTAATCAGATTACAAAGCAGGAGATCAATTAATGCAACATTCTCCAGTGTTTTTTTTCTCAATATGTGCACAAACAGTGCATTCTCAACTCAGAGCAGCTCAATAGGAAGCAAAGCCAGAGCCGGTCTGCCTAGTGTAACAGATGGGACATTCTGTTCTGTTTGCAATTTTCATTTAAGGAGTTGTTTTACAAGTTCTGTTTAGAGTCTGGTTCTTTTCTTGTAGGGAACATTTAGGTGATGGACCTGTTGACTGTAAATGCAGCCTGTCTTTTTTTCTGCCGACAGAGCTGTATGTCACTTTGTTACCATGGCAACGTGTGTGTGTGTTTGTGTGTGTGGGGAGCCCAGTGCAAAGGAGAGAGCAAGTCTGAGAAGGTTTGGCGCGGGTTCTGGAAATTTTGACCTGTTTGTCAGTATTTTCCAGATTGCTGGAGCGACATAGCTGCTGTACTGCCTTGTTTTCCACCATAAAAATGCCACTCTACAATAGGTAACATACATAATTGTTATATGTAGGTGCATTACATTAGGGATTATGGCAGAAAACGTGCAAACCATCCATCCATTTTCATCCGCTTATCCAGAGTCGGGTCGCGGGGGCAGTAGCCTAAGGCGAGAGGCCCAGACTTCCCTCTCCCCAGCCTCTTGGGCCAGCTCCTCCGGGGGAATCCCAAGGCGTTCCCTGGCCAGGTGAGAGACATAGTCCCTCCACCGTGTCCTTGGTCTACCTTTAGGTCTCCTCCCAGTTGGATGTGCCTGGAAAACCTCACCAGGGAGGCGTCCAGGAAGCATCCTGACCAGATGCCCAAGCCACCTCAACTGCAACCTCTCAATGTGGAGGAGCAGTGGGTCTACTCCGAGCCCCTCCCAAATGACCGAGCTTCTCACCCTATCTCTAAGGGAGAGCCCAACCACTCTTCGGAGAAAACTCATTTCAGCCGCATGTATCCGCGATCTCGTTCTTTCGGTCACTACCCAAAGCTCATGACCATAGGTGAGGGTAGGAACGTAGATTGACCGTTAAATCGAGAGCTTCGCCTTCTGACTCAGCTCTCTCTTCACCACGACAGATCGGTACAACGCCTGCATCACCGAAGATGCAGCACCAATCTGCCTATCGATCTCACGCTCCAGTTTTCCCTCACTCATGAACAAGACCCCGAGATACTTTAACTCCTCCACTTGGGGCAGGGCCTCATCCCTGACCCGGAGAAGGCATTCTACCCTTTTCCGAATCAAGACCACACCTTGGCTGCGCCTAGAAATCCTGTCCATAAAGGTTATGAACAGAATCGGTGACAAAGGGCAGCCTTGGTGGAATCCAACTCTCACTGGGAACGAGCCCGACTTACTGCTGGCAATGCTGACCAAGCTCTGACACCGGTTATGTAGGGACCTAACAGCCTGTATCAGAGGGCCTGGTGCCCCATACTCCCGGAGTACCCCCCACAGGGCCTCCCGAGGGATGCAGTCAAACGCCTTCTCCAAATCCACAAAATATATCATCCCTAACAGCCAGTGTCCACCAGCGGGTTCGGGGGTTGCCAGCACGACAGGCACCGACGATCATGTGACCACAGCCCCGGTCGGCCACCTCAACAATGAAGGCACGGAACAGGGTCCATTCAGACTCAATGTCCCCCGCCTCCTCGGAACATTTTGGAAGTTCTGTCGGAGGTGGCAAGCTCCTTCTGACAGGAGACTCTGCCAGACGTTCCCAGCAGACCCTCACGATATGTTTGGGCCTGCCTGGTCTGACCGGCATCCTCCCCCACCATCTGAGCCAACTCACCACCAGGTAGTGGTCAGTTGACAGCTCCGCCCCTCTCTTCACCCGAGCGTCCAAGACATGCGGCTGCAGGCCAGATGAAACGACAACAAAGTCGATCATCGAGCTGCGGCCTAAGGTATCCTGGTGCCAAGAGCACATATGAACACCTTTATGTCTGAACATGGTGTTCATTATGGACAATCCATAACTGGCACAGACGTCCAATAACAAAACACCACTCGAATTCTGATCAGGGGGGCCGTTCCTCCCAACCACACCTCTCCAGGTCTCACTGTCGTTGCCCACGTGAGAGTTAAAGTCCCCCAGCAGAACGAGGAAGTCACCGGAAGGAGCGCTTTCCAGCACCCCCTCCCAAGGTCTCCAAAAAGGGTGGGTAGTCTGAACTGTAGTTTGGTGCATAAGCACAGACCACAGTCAGAACCCGTCACATAGGTGGAGAGAGGCTACCCTCTCATTCACTGGGGTAAACCCCAACATACAGGCACCAAGATGGGGGGCAACTAGTATGCCCACCCCTGCTCGGCGCCTCTCAGTGGGAGCAACTCCAGAGTGGTAGAAAGTCCAACCCCTCTCAAGGAAATTGGTTCCAGAGCCATGCGTTGAGGTGAGTCTGACTACATCTAGTCAGCATGGATGTAATTTTTTTGGGGGGGGGGGGGGGGGGGGGGGGGGGGGGGGGCATGTCCCCTCCCACTTTTTCCAAAGTCAAGTTTTGACCCCTGCATATTTTACCATCCAAAAACAATATTACGCTATATTAAATTGACACTGGTTGAGCTCTAGGACCAAGCGGAAAACAACCGTTTGTGTTGAAGCCTGTTTCCCATTAGATACCCCCCCCCCCCCCCCCCACACACACACACACACACACACACTTCTAAAGTGAAAATTACGTCCATGCTAGTCGGAACCTCTCAACCTCACACACCAACTCAGGCTCCTTACCCACCAGAGAGGTGACATTCCATGTGCCAAGAGCCAGCTTCTGTAGTCGAGGATCAGACCGCCAAGGTCCCCGCCCTTGACCACCACCCGTCACACACTGCACCCGACCCCTTTGGCCCCTCCCACGAGTGGTGAGCCCATGGTAAGGGGGACCCACGTTTCCTCTTCGGGCTGTGCCCGGCCGGGCTCCATGGGTGAAAGCCAGGCCACCAGGCGCTCGCCAACGTGCCCCACCTCCAGGCCTGGCTCCAAAGGGGGGCCCCGGTGACCCACATGGGCGAGGGAATACGGTTTCCATTTATATAATTCATCATAAGAGGTCTTCGGGCTGCTCTTTGTCTGATCCCTCACCTAGGACCTGTTTGCCATGGGTGACCTTACCAGAGGCAGAAAGCCTCAGATAACTTAGCTCCTAGGATCATTGAGACACTCAAACCCCTCCACCACGGTAAGGTGGCAGCCCAGGGAGAGGTACAAGCAATTTGTCAAATGTAAAACTGAACTCTCCGATACAAGCATTATGCATTCTTGTATTCTAGAGTTTCGACTTAGAGGGGATGCTGGACAAAAGGGGGGTTTTGACCTTTGAATTGTGTATTTTCAAAAAGTAGCTTGCTTGAACAGCAAGACAAACATCTCATATTGCACCTTTAATTCATAACAACTTGAGGTTGAGCCAACCTTTTGCTTACTAATGAATAAAGCTCCAGAAGTCAGCATGCTTGCATGAATGTCTTTGAGAGGAACAAATTGGTGGCTAGTTTTATTTGCAGAAATAAGTAAATGAAGCTAGCTATTGTTCTATAGATGTCTGCAAAGTTTGCAGACGCAAATTTTTGGTGTATAAAAGCAGACGATAGGAGGATTTCTGCTCTTATGCCCAAGTGAAAAGTAGCCCGGAGCTGCAGTTATTGCTGCTGTGCTTTTTTGTGCAGTGGATGTTTTGATGTTTTGAGTTCAACGTGGTACACCATGGACAGTCAGTTGAAAGACTAAATTAGGTCACGAGATGGAGGAGTAAGATTGCGGGGAGCAGCGGTCCCCTGGGAGCCGGGCAAGAAAAAAGGATTTAGGGGGCAAACATGACTTCACGCAATGATTAATAAAAGTTAATAAAAACATAATATAATGAAAAATGTGAATTGTTCAGTTTTTGTCATTAAAATCACGTATTTCTGCTATTTTTTTATCTTATTTTAGATTTTACAGAGAACAGAAAGCACTGCACTGTTAACCACATCGGTATCTGCATTCAACTCTCGGATTGCAGCATATCCAGGTTTCTCTAAAGAAACGAGGTTTAGCTGCTCATCATCTGAATCATTTTGAACAGTTTGCAGGTTAAAACACAAATCTAGGTTTTATTTTCCTCTTCCTTTAGACATCTCTCGCTGTGTAAACCTGCAAATCCGGGTCTCTCTCCCTCCCACTGAGCCATGTGAGATCTGAGCACATGGCTAGAGAAAGCCCGCTGACGTCACCTTAGCAACCACCCTCTGATGTCCTCAGCACTCTGGTACCGCAGGGAAAAGTAGGGAGACGGCGACAGGTGCTGTTTACAGTAGCGATGCAGCCGCGTTTTCATGGTGATAAACGCCGTGTGATAGGTGCAGTCCTGCAGTCAGCTTTTCCTTCTCTTCATCTCAGTGCTTCCTTTTATATCCCCGTGCTGTCTCTCTACCCTTTGGAGCACTTGGTATCCATGGCAACAGGCAGCAGGTGACCAGGGTGCTGTAGTTAGCTGTAGATGAAAGGTTAAGCCAACTAAATTCTGGTTAGTTTTTGTTTTTCGACAAATGATGGAGTTCTGGTGGGAGTTGCTGGAAATCCAATGGTTTCCAGTAAATCTTACTGGAAAAACACATTTTTTTAAATCTGCCACATCTTCACATCACATAAAAGCTCATATGGGATAAAAGCAAAGATAGGAGTTAGAACAAACCCATCAGTCTAGACTCCCACCCTTAATTTAATCAGATGGATGTCTTCAAGGATGCAGAATAAAAGAGCCATAGATGAAGCGGGAAGGGAGGGTAAAACGGGGGATGGGTCTTGAGAGGGTGATGAATGGGGCAGTAGAGGAGGAGAGAGTGTGGGATGAAATAGTTGAGGAGGAAAAGGGGGTCTGGGAATAAGCCAAAGCTCCACATGACTGGCACACATCCAGTCACATTATTCCTGATATATGCCCCAATGTTTTTACCCAGTTACACGGCTCCTTGTGTTTATTTATTTGTACAAACCACTGCTCCATCAGCCAGATTCCCACATATAAGGTTGCCAAGGAGACAGCTATGGGTGGCAGCTGTTTCCTTGGTGATTTACGGCAGGACTAATGGCGTTTACATAGGAAGGCTTTGGATTGGTGTTCATGGATGCACACAAGCTGTTCAGAAGCAGTCGTAGCTCCTCTCAGGGTAATGAAGAACGTCACACCATCAGAGACGCGATTCCTCATCTCATGTAGATGAAGTAAGCACTGTGATGAGTAGGTGTTTGCCCCCCTTAGAGGGTTATTCTGTTTTTGAATAAATTCAGTGTCTGACAACATAAAGTCGAGCCCCGTCACAAAGAAATTCAAGAGTGAGCTGCGGGCCTCACTTGGTCATGATTCAACAACGAGAAGTAGAACTCGGCCGCTCTGTTTGCTGAGTTCAGGTGTCTAGGGGACAAACCGATGTCTCCTTCTATACGAGTCTGTGTGTTTAACATAAATGGGCCGTAACACTGCATCTCAGAAAAATAGATCCTACCAACAGTCGGGCATGGTGGTGGGAGCATGATGGTCTGGGGCTGCTTCACAACTTTGATGATTTGGAATAAGGGTTTGAGAGGATTACATTATTAGTCCTCCAGTCGTTTCAGTAATGTGAAGCCACCTTTTAACTTCAGGGATACGACTGCTCTTGTGTCTGAAGATAATAACCTCTGAGTGAGTTAGAACAGGTCTCGATGGGAGGAACTTGCAAAAGAGCAAAGTGAACTTGAGCTTTTTTACATGCCGGTGTTGGTACAAGATCTGCTCGGGGTCCGTCGACTGCCGATGACGTCAAAGTAGTTGATTGACTGAACATGAACCTTACGGAATTACGTAGTCACGTTACGTTGTTATCACGTTACGTTGGTCCAGGCAAATCTTTCTGTTGGAAAGAGGGACAACTTTTACAAAGAAATCCATCATTACTTCTTTGAAAATACACTTTTAGCATAGAGCTGCATGCATATTAGGGCTGAACGATTAACTGCATGTGCAATTAAATTGCGATGTGACAAAAGGAGATTTTCTAATCGCAAAGGCTGCAATTTGGCAGCGAGTGGTTAGCGCAATGCTAATATACGTGGAAAAACCCATAGGAATGCTAATGCTAATATCACCGATTACATTATTACAAATTATGAATTAGAAATGTGCCAAATGATTACATTTGGAGTCTAATAGAAAGTAAAACTACCATCAATCAAATAAGTACAGACAGGTATTTTAGTAAAGCCAGAAAACTTTTAACTCCAGAGTTTTGGCTAGCAGCTATGAGCGTAACTGAACTACGCATGGACAAGACGTCAAAAACTAAACACAAAATACTTCAATAAACGGGACACACTTCTTTCCTGCAAATACAATTTCACAGGTGTTGCTAATACCTATGATCCTTCAAGGGATGTGCTCAAAGAGGAGTTCAACATTATGAATAAAATATAGTGTTTTATTTTACAAATACCATTATAAACACAATCTTACGTCTTAAGAAACATTATTTTAATAACAAAACTGCTAAATTCTTTCCAACAGTATAGATGTGTGGTGTATTTTGTCCGAGTGGGTTTGCCGTACTTTGACGTCATCGGCAGTCGAAGGACCCCGAGCCGATCTTGTACCAACACCGGCTGCAGAAAATAAACCACTCTGTTTGGTGGAGTGAGCATTCTGCATGCTTGTTTTATCAGACTTTATTTCTCACCAGCTCTCCTCCTGCCTCCATCCATCTCTCTGTCCTCTGTTGTAATCTTCGTTAATGTTCTTAGCTCGTGGCTCTGTTTGGCTTTATACGTCAGCTGACACACGGAAACTGGGTCACACAGATGGAGTATTGGGGCCAGGAAGGCTCTTTCCCCCAGAAAAGTAGATGCAACTAAAGAGAATAAAACGTATTCCCACATTTCCGTAACTTTAGTTTGATTGCACACAGTAGTTTTTGTTTCGTCTCATCAGCTACGTTTTATTTGTTTCAGCAGGTTCCATCACACTGCATCACAGTTTGACTTCTTTCTGACCCCCAGAAAAGCAAAGTAGTTATCCAGAAAATGGGAGCCACTGTTTATCCTGTAGACGATGATGAAAGCAGAGTTTGCATGGATGCTGTCGTTAGCTCTTAGCCTGAATTGTTGTTTCCATGCAAACATTTGTTTGGTAAAGTCAGTTACATTTTAATGTATTGTTAACGAAATTTTTCTTATTGGATCTTATTTTTTTTAGACTCTAAAGCGAAAGGAGAAGGAGTACGAGCATGAGATGGAGCGCTTGGCCAGAGAGAAGATCTCTACGCAGCAGCGTCTGGCCGAGCTGAAGAACGAGCTGAGCCAGTGTATGGATGTGATGGAGATCGACCGAGTCCTCCGACAGACCATCCAGCCAGAGGACGACCAGGCCTCTACATCCACCGCTTCAGGTACAGGGACAAAATGTCTCCATGTGCTTGACGTCTTCCTATTCCGTATCATTATGACAAACATTCTCCTCTCTGATCTACAGAGGGAGAAGACAACTATGAGCAGGAGATGGATGAGGATGCGCCCGCTCCTCCTGTTCCAACGCCCCTCCCCAAACCACCACCCCCCATCCTACAAGCTCAGCAACTCCTTACTCCACACTTATCAATCCAGCATGCTGCTCTGCCTCTTTCTGGAGTCCTCACCACATCCTCTCCCTCTGGTCCTCTACTTCCCCAAGCCATCGCTCCTGCTCCTCCACCAGGTCCACCTCCTCCACCCACTGTCATCGCTCACGCCGCCGTCTCCCACCCCTCTGTAATCCAAGCCGTCAATCACGCACTTTCAGGCAACCAGAAACACCTAACACACATTGCCCCCCTCACCTGGCCCTCCCTCCTCCACCCCTCAGCCAATCACGGCAGCCACAGCTGCCCCCGCTGCCGCCACCCACCCACAAATCTCAGCCCAGCCCATCGGACACATCACCGTCCACCCTGTGGCTCACCTTGGAGCTCCTTTGACCTCCCACCTTCCGACTCTTTACTCCCAAGGAGTACCCGTATCCCAGCCCACCATGGTGGGCCACATCACCCACACCTTCACCCACCACCCCCTGTCCCACGTCCAGGCCAACCCCCAAGCTAACACTAATGGAGCCCAGGTGAACAGCTCGGCAGTGGTGAACCAGGGGACGGCGTCGCTAGGGAAACCCACAGCAGTGCTGGCTCCGCACCCCCAGCTGGTCGGACAAGCTGCTGTCCTTAACCCTGTCACCATGGTTACAGTCCCCACTTTCCCTGTCAGCACACTCAAACTGGCTTAAAAAAAGATGTTATTGTCAAAGAGATGCGGAACTTTTAGGGACAGGCCATTGTTTGTGAAACGAGACTGTGATCTGTTGGGTTTGCTGCAAAGACAGGAACTCCGCTTGACCTTTTCCTCCTTCCTTCCTTCTCTCTTTCCTCTGCAACCAGAAGCACTAACAGAATAAGCTCAGCTCACACCCGGGCATCGAGGATTTATGTCGCTTATTCATTCAGTCATTTAGTAAAAGTACACAAGGTCTGTACTGTGTGACGGTTGCCACAGCGATACAGTAGGGACCTGTTTACACAGATAATGTCCACACGGTAAAGTAGGACGCCTCATCACTCGTGTTTTTGAGAAGCAGGAGTTTCAGTGGTTTCGCTGATCTGAGGGACTTTTTCATGTGGCTTTGATCACGTGGGGACTAGACATGTTTACTAAATCTAAAGCCCCCCCCCCCCCCCCCCCCCCCCATGTGCTCTGGCTTCAATAAAATTACATAAAGTTGATGACTTCACCATTTAAGCATCCTGGAAAGGGTTTCAGGAAAATTCTTCCTCCAAAGTGAAATCTAAGTAATTATCTGTGCAACAGAAGCTATCAGAGTTATGAAGTCAGTTTTTATGCAGAAAATAGATTTATGTTTACTGTGCAGGAAAATCTTTATCTGTCACGCTAAACACATTAAAGGCCATTAAAAGCCTGAGAAGATCATTTCACTGTGATTAATTGGAAGTGACCTGAACGTATACAGATGTGGAGAACAGTTTTGGTGTCCCTCCATTAAAGAAAGAAACGCCCACTGACAGAATAAAAGAAACATTTACTGAAAAACCCAAACAGAATGGATCAGAATGCTTCAGACCTGAGACGTTTGCTCGTGAGGACTGGACCAAAATACCCAGGGGCGTCTCTGAGAGACGCAGACATCTCTTGATTGTGTTTATTACCTTAAAAGGTTGTGCAACAAAATCCATCATGTATGTCCAGATCAGAATTAACCACACTTTAAAAGAAATGTCTGAATTTCTTTCAGTAATTTCAGTGACATTTGTGGGGTTTTCTTTCTTTAACAACCAGGAACCAATGTGTTTTTTTTCCCCATGTCTTCAGGTGAAGTTATTCCAAAGCTCATCAGTGGTTGCATGGCAGCCATGTTGGGCTAAACTTTACAGAAAAAGATGTCATCTCATCCTAAAACCTGCTCTCTGCAACTTTCCCTTTTGCTTGAAGGGAAGAGTTGGTTTCCATCCGCTATCTAATGCAACAGCGCCCCCTGCTGCCTCACGTCACACCTTATAATGTTCCTGACTCACACTTGTCACAACACACACACACACAAACCTTAGAATAAGATTAAAGATTGTGTTTAAGGACATGTTTGTAAGCCAAATTGGACGAGTTTAGTCCACTCTTGTTAAGGTTTCGGAAAGTTTGGATGCAGCGAAAAAAAGAATAGAAGTCTGTCTGCATTTGTTGCACTTTACTAAAGAATCATTTGCAATTTTTATCTAAAATGAAAAGAAAGTTCATATGAAGATGAATTTCAGGAAATCATTTATTTCAGTTTAAATTGAGAATGTGTTGTGACGCCTTCATTCACGTGTGTGAGCGAGTGTGTGCTTGTTGTGTAAGTTTGTGTGATACACTCAGCTTTTTTGTCAGCCTATTATACGTCTGTCTCTCTCTCTCTCTCACACACACACACACACACACACCAGTGTTTCCTCTGCTGTTTCTATATGTTCTGTCTGTTTATATGTTTTATATATTCTGTATTATACTTAATCCTATACCTGTAGCATGGCTGTCTTTGGTTGTACAGTTTGACCTGTGCATGATTGTGTGTGTGTGTGTGTGTGTGTGTGTGTGTGTGTGTGTGTGTGTGTGTGTGTGTGTGTGTGGCTACTTGCAGCTTATTTTTTTACACAAAGGTGATATATGAGCCTGTTTGGATGCTATCGTGTGTGCCTGTACCCAGTTTCCCCGATCACTGTGACAACTCTGGCAAAACACGTAAACTCTGGGTGAATGAAAAAAACATTTTTTTCTTTCTTTTTTATTTTGTGTGTGTGTGTGTGTGTGTGTGAGACATTGAGTGAAAATAATAATAAAAAAGGCTGTTGCTCTCTTCCTGATAACATAACGATGTCTAATACTGAGTTTTGTAATATTTGTACGTGTGAAAGTTTTTTTGTAAATTGTGGTCGTACGCATGATCCAGCATATGAGTATATGCATCTTTAATGCTTGTTTTTTTTTTTTGGTTTTGCATGTAGTTTGCAGTTTAGTTTCATTTTTTAAAGTTATTTCTGTTAATTTGGGGACCATGTACAATAGTGTATAACGTGGGCAGATTCTTGGACCTCATGCTACATTGATATTATATATGAATATAAAAACATGTTTTCCCTATGGAGAAAGTTTTAAGTTATATATCGCCTGTACACTTTGGGCTGCCTTTTAGATCTAACTGTCCACTGTTTTAGAAACAATAATATTAATAATGGATAAAACATATTAATGATGAAGAATTATGCCGATGGAGTAATACAAATTCTTAATAAATCTTATAACATTTACAACACATCTTTCTCTTGTGGTCCTTTAGAGTAAAATAATTATTCATAGAGTTGATCTTACTGTAATTTTTTTACATTTTTTAAGTGATAATGTGTACTTTCCCTGGTGATAGGGGGCAGTACATACCTAAATCATTGCAAGCAAGCGGTATTTTTCTGTTGAGACCTCACCAAAGGATGGCCATTAGCATCACAAATACCTGGGAGGCCAACCACCAGCAAAACAAGTGCATCAGACTCCCTTTCATCGCTGGCAATGAACAAAGACGTAAATGTGTAAAACAATGTTTATGAATGGTGAAAGTTTTGTAAACGTTAGTTACAAATCAGTAAATGCATTTTGTCCTCACGGGCTCCCGTAGAAGGAAACATTGCGTCGCCCAGAGACTTGGGGTGTTTCTCAATTGCATGGCACCTGACCTTGCAAGATGATGTCTTGGTTTCAATATATATATATATATATATATATATATATATATATATATATATATATATATATATATATATATATATATATATATACTGAATCTATATGAAGTTGAAGAATTAATTTTATAATTAGGACTGGTTTTGTTGTTAGTTCACTCCAGTGTTGGAAGCAGAGATAAAATTAAAACAAAGTCACTTGGTCTTGGACATAATATGGTCTTGGTCACATTCCATGATTTAGCTCTGATGATGTAAATAAAGGTGAATGTTTCTGGCATATTGAGAGCAAAACGCATAGAGTCTATGACATCATTATTTTGTGATTTGAGCTTCTGGATGCTGACAAGCTCACCTTTTCCCCCCCAGATGATTGATTCTTTTTGACTTCATTAGATTACAAGCCTCTGCAACAGCTCTTCAACTGCGATTTCTCCTGTTACTTCTAGGTGATGTAAATCACTTTTTGTGTTTATTTTCAATTTTCTTTACACTGATTAAGGCTTTTTTGTTAGTTTTATTTTGCTTTGGTTTATGCACACTGTGCTGCATGACTCTGCCCCCTGCTGATGTAAACTGGTAATTGTAAGTTCCTTGGGCTGGGTATTTTTTTTTTTAGCCTTTAGAGGAAACATGTTATGTGAGGTCCAACTTTTGCATCAGGTTGACGCAATGCTTGCCGGTACCGGACCTGTTTTGTTTATATCTGTTTATGCCTCTTTTGCTCTGGTGAGCCATGAGTTGTCTCATGTCTCAAGAGGAGGGGTGGCTGATAACAATTTTCCTACACACACGCACTCACCTGTGTGCCTCTGTTATAAGTGAATAGAACACATTTGTGAATGAGATAATGGCTGGATGTTTGAGTCCTTGAATTTGAGCTGAAAGAACCGTTGTTAGTACAACTGTGGATGAAAATAACTGGAGTCCAGAGTGACAGAGAAAATACTTTGAATATTGGATGATAAGAATTTTTGCTGAAAACAAGTAAAAATCAACAGTGATCTCCCAGAATTTTCTTGTGCTTTCTCGCCCACTGGTTGTGAAACCAGGGAATTGGGTTCTGATGAAGGTGCTGAAACAAGTAAATTGGGGCAGCCAGCGGTGTGAAGGTCAATGCGAAGTACTCCTCACCACTCCTACTGCTGTGAAGATTGCTGAGAGGCCAGCTGAAGCGGGGGAACAGTAAAGATGTAGACACTACCATTGTTAAAAGAAATGTGTGTTAACTTAGAACATGTGGGCGCAATTTTAATTACTTGTCAACTTGTTTCTGCAACGTTGACTGCTGCACACAAAAAAAAAAGACTGCTGCTCGCGTGGGCCCCCTTGCGGCTGTGGGCCCCTGGGCCTGTGCCCAGTTTGCCCATATTATCATCCGGCCTTGTATATTCAGCATCTTTTTAGGAATTTTAACATGTTGTTTAACACTTCCTTTATCCCAAATCTGCTTCTTCTCTTCGACACACTGCTGTTTTCAGTTTGTTTACACTCGTAAGGCCATCAACATGTCTGTGCAGTGCGCACATCCCATAATGCAACACACGTGCGATCCCAAGCTCTGATGTGGGTTTTGGGCATTTGTGGGCTGCAGAAAGGAAACTGGTTGAGTTTCTAATCCAACAATCACCGAGATCAATGTGCTCTAGTTTAAAGTTTTAAAAACAATCTATTATTTCTTTAACAAAACAAACAACAACTTTACTGAGATAAATTACAAAAAGACAAATTAACTCACATACAGCACCAACATCAATACCACTAGACGGTGTTAAATTGTCACAAATAAAGAACACAATCTATTAAACCATTCAGACATTTTGCATTGTTTTACTTCCTGGACAGTCTTCCCTATTAGAGAAATAGCGTAAAATATCTTTAAAAAGCTCAAATCGCCAAAAATTCTTATTCACAATCTTGGCAAGAAATGTTAAATTCCTGGTGGATTTGACCACAAAAAGTACCAACAATACTTCCTTTTGTAGATGTTGGTGATATTTACATTAGGAAATAACTGTAGAATTCTGTATAAAAACCTGCAATGCAAAACTGAAATGATGCACTTGATCCTGGCTGTGCTTGAAGGTTTTCAGGAATTGAGCTGCAACAAGTAATATTGTAATCATTAAAAAAACTGACAGAGAAACACTTCAAAATAGCAGGAAAAGCCCATTTGAAGTGAATCGGTTAAAGTAGATGTTGAGAGAAATTCTTGAACATCTGGATCAGTTTCTGTCACAATGAGGAATGTGAAGTTTCTTTGATTGGCAAAAGAAATTGAAGAGTTTGCTTCAACCGATCAGCTCTCTTGATTTTAATGCGGTCAGTTGCTGATGCTTGCATTGATCAGGCCAAATGTTTCTGTGTATTTTGTTGGGATTGCAGGCTTTTTGATTGTTTTCAGCAGCTGTCTCATTGACCCTGCTGTATCTGCTCTTGAATCCTCTCCAGCACCTCCTGCATCTTCCTCAGCTACAGACAGAAAGAAAAAAAGGCGTGTTTATCACTCCCTCTCACCGTAACCAAGTGAAAACATGAACAGGTAGGGGAGAAAAACACGCACCTCTTCATCTTTCTCAAAGATCTGCCTCTCCTTCTCGGTGTCAACGACTGCAAGCGGTAGAGGAAAGTCTGCCTCATACCCCTCTCGATACTTCTCCCGCAAACTAAAACCCATTTTAACACGAACACACGCAGATGAGAGTGCATCACTTAAAGAAATCTCTTTTGTTGTTGGAGTTTCTACCTCTGCTTTCATCTCCACCCACCTGCGTTTCCTCTCCAGCACCATCATGCGCGTCATGTTCTGGATGCACTGGGCTCTGTAGTTTTCATAGTGGATTTCTCGCGTCACATCCTTAAGATCCTGCATGTGCGTCCTCACCAGCATGTTCCTCAGCAGCAGGAAGTCGGAGTGCACCGGGTTCTCCACTGTCCAGTCGACAGCAAAAATTAGGTCAAAAAGCAACAATAAAGGAAAAAGTTTAAATGTTTAAGTGACCATTTACCATTTATCTGTTAAGAATGCACTAAAATGTTGAAATTTCTAACTGAAATACAAATACTAATTAAGAGCATTTGACATAATTCCTACCTTCTACCACACCCCAAGGATAAGAACGACCCCTGAACTTTCGGCCTTTGCTTTCCACCTGTATGTTACTCCCGATTACAGCGAACGGTATGCTGTCCTACAGGGATAGGCCGCAACATTCACACATGAGCATTAACTGCTGAGACAGTGCAGATATCCAACAAAAAGTCAATAAATCCAATGTCAGACCTTGAGAAACTGTTCCTGTGTCTTTAATTCTTCATCTTCATCTGAATCACAGTCTGGAAACTGGTAGATGTTAACCCCGAACTGTCTGATGTCCTCTCTGATCTGGAATGAAAGAATGGAAAAGAATTAGCAGCTGATTGAGTGGTTTAAATCCATGTTAAGGAATAAAAACAAGCAATTTAACCATTGTTTTAGAAGTTTTCATTTAAATACATCTACAAATAAGGAATAAACAACTTCTAACCAACGAGGTGAATGTTGCTGTTCACGCCCACGAACCTTCATCTTCTTTTTGAGGATCTCTGCTTGTGTCAGGCTGTCAGCTTTGGCCAAAAGAGGAATTATGTTGACTTTTTCATGCAAGGCCTTCATGCACTCCACATCTAGTGGTCGGAGACTGATGAAAGACGAACCACACATTTGTTTAAACACAGAAAAAGTTAAATAAGTGACCTTTTTAGTTTTTGCAGGGTATTATTGTACCCGTGACCAAACGGAGAGACGAAGTACAGAAGACAGTGGACTCTGTTGTCCTGGATGTTCTTTCTGTTAAGCCCGCTCTCGTCTCTGAAAAACTGCTCAAACTGTTGGTCAATGTAGTCCTCTATGTGCTTCCAGCTGATTCAAAAACAAACAATCTTGTTAGATAAACCGGTTGACTGTGACGCAAGTTGTATCACAATAAAAGTTTCCATTTCACCTTTTTATGTTATTGACAGCATCTCCAAACCCTGGAGTGTCAATGATGGTGAGCCTCAGTTTGATTCCTTTCTCCTCGATGCCAATCATGTGTTTGACGATGTCGACTGTTTGACCGATTCGTTCTGCAGACACGCGTGTGTGAAAAGTGACGAGGCGGTTCACAAGGTAGTAAAGCAGGCATGCATTCTCAAAACAGCAGCAGATTCTGCCAAGTCATCATTGAACATGTTCCCAGCTTCATCAGAGTAATCTTACCTTCAGCATTAGGAACCTTTCTCTCTTTGTAGAGGTCAGTGAGGAACAAACTGTTGATCAATGTGGACTTACCAAGGCCAGACTCTCCTACAGATTACAGAGATACACATCCATCATCATCTGTTTCAGTCAACTCATAAACAATGTTTAAGTGTGTTTATGGGAATTTTGGGTCACTCTTGAGCATTAGTGAGATGAGGCATTGATGTTCAAGATCAAGAAGTTAATAACAATAATTCAGCATTTTCATTAGCAATCATGGTAAATGACCTGTAATGTAGCACCTTCTTAGGGTTCTACAACCCCCAAGGCGCTTCACAAAACAATCATTCATCCACCCATTCACACCCTGGTGAGGATGAGCTACGATGTAGCCACAGCTGCCCTGGAGCGCACTGACAGAGGCTAGGCCTGCTGAACACTGGCGCTACCGGTCCCGCCGATGACCACCACCACCAGGCAAGGCAGGTTAAGTGTCTTGCCCAAGGATACAACAGCAGCATTCTCTGCTCAAAGCCGGGATCGAACCGGCAACCTTCCGATTACTGGACAACCCGCTCTACCTCCTGAGCTACTGCTGTCAACATAACAGAAGAACTCACCAGCCACCATGACAGTGAACGTGAAACCTTTCTTCACTGTTTTTCTGTGAACCTGGTTGGGTAACGTAGCAAAACCCACATATTCTTTGTCCTGATCCTGCAGAAAGAAGACACACTTGCATCATAAATGTACAACATGTGCATATGGGTGCCAACAGGGCTTGTCTGTGGATGCCATAATGCCCACGTAGATTTTTGCCCACATGATAAATGACCTGCACTTGTATAGTGCTTCTCAGAGTAAGGACTCCAAAGCGCTTTACACTACAGTGAATCATTCACCCATTCACACACACACATTCACACACTGATGGTGATGAGCTACGATGTAGCTGGGGCGCACTGACAGAGGCGAGGCTGCCGAGCACAGGCGCCACCTGACCACCACCAGCAGGCAAGGTGGGTTAAGTGTCTTGCCCAAGGACACAACAGCAGAATTCTCTGTCCGGAGCCGGGATCGAACCTGCAACCTTCCGATTACTGGACAACCCACTCAACCTGCTGAGCTACTGCTGCCACCATACATTTTGATGGGCCCTGCATGAGTATTCAGAGGGGCCTGCTTGGAGTGACTCATGTGGGCCCATTGAAATCTATGTGGCAAATCCCTGTGGGGTCACCAACTGCAGACAAACCCTGTTGGCACCCATATGGTTTGCCCATGTTTATCTTTATGGGGCCCACCTATGCATGCTGACTAGGAGTGTGTTAGAAATGTACAAACATCAGAACTGGTAAGGGTTTTGCCAACAGTTCTTGAACAAACTGTATGGTCCTTGCTGTGCAGAATTCCTCCTAGTGGAACTCGTTCTTTGGTTCTTCTGTTCCCAGGGGAAGGCTGAACTGCACACACTTAATATTTTCACCAAAAACGACCATGTTTGAGTAGTTTCAGTTAACTTGATATATACCACAAAAAGCTCATAAAATGACACAAAGACACAGCCTCGAACCCTTCAAAACTACCACAAGTCACATTCTCTCGACCTTCCTCCTTTGTCACCTTTTAATCCCCTATGCTCGATTCCACCCACGCCATGGACAAGGCCTTCCTGCCAAATATACCAGCTATTTAAAAGCTCCCACTGGTGCAAAGGTCCCATTCAAACGGGGGAAAAAAACTCTTGTGCTATGATGAATCTAATGAGTGTGTGGCAGAAAACAACCAAGCAATTGCGATCTTGACAGCCAGACTGCATCTGAAAGGATGCTTAGTAAAGGCCTTGGACTTAGTTGTGGTGCATCAATGCAACAGCATCATGCTTTGTGGTCAGCAGCATGTTCACAGTCCACTCTCTCAGCTAACCTATCAAAGCCAGGCCTTTGTTATCATAATCTACATCCCCCCCCCAATCTATGGGCCGCTGAACTGCACAGTCTTTTGAGCCTGACCACAAGCTTCCTATGAAGGCATGTACTCACGCCTCACAGATGGGGTGAGGAGGAGGAAGGAAATGACACACTGACTCTAAAGTTTCACTTTATGAACCAAGCAACCTGAGGCAACTCCCATTATAACTGTCCAAGCTGAAGTGTGTAAAGAAGACCAAAACAAACCTCTGGAGAGTCATAAGGGTCAGGACGCCCCCATGGACTTCGAGGCAGAGAGGCTGGGCTGAGCGGAGACTCCAGAGATACCTGTGAGACGATCTGTTTCCTCAAAGGCAGAAACTGTGGGTCTAATCCTGCATGATTTCGTCTGGGAGGGACTGTTGGAGAACCAGTGGGGGGGAAATAGATGGAACAGGGTAGAGACGACGTCCCGGAAGAGCTCTTCAGCCTTCCATTGGATTCTGTTGGAGTCTCCTCTTCTTCGTGCAGGCCCAGCCTTTGAAAGTGTTCAGCAGACTGACTGATGGGAGGTAGATCCCTCATAGCATAAGGAAACTGAACGTCCTCCTGGTCCTCGATGGACAGGCTGGACAACTAAGACAAATCACGGCAACATTACTCAAATGGATCAAGGTTAAATCTTTAAAATACAAATAATTTCTACTCAAAACTAAACAAGAACTAACTTTCATAGTTCTGCTTAAAATCACAAAAGCAGGCAGTTGACCCGTTTTTATTCAGTAATCACACATACCAGTACATACACACATTGGTTTCTCCACCCTGGTGTCAAATCAATACCATTTACTTGTCCTGTTATTCCTGTATCGTCTCTACCCTTTCCTTTCTCTCTGTAATGTTGGAATGTAGCAGAAATAGCAAAGCTGTCAATGATAGGGTTCGTAGGTTCTTCTAGTTACCAGAAATCTAACAAGTGCATGAAAACCTTAAAATCGACATTTCACTAAATGGATAAGGAATCCAGATTGTTGTTTGGGTTTTTAGTTGACTCACAAGGAATTTTATTTATTTCTTTATTTATGGGGGGGTTGCTCATCCCTGCAGGACTGAAAACAAAGAGATTAAGGCTGCTGAGATGGTAAGAGAAGAAGCTCTTCTGAGTTTCTTCACTTGCAGTGTTTGACTACACTCTTTCTTAACTGATTAGCTCCAACCTGTGATCCTATTAGAACATTACAAAGGAACTCATCCATCTGTCCAGTCAGGATGGAGACAAAAACCAGCATGAAGCTGAGGGTCAGTGGGATTAATTCACTCACTCAAACCTAGAGTGCATTTTTAACTGAGGCTAATTTTAAAAGTTAATTTTTTCACTATTTAAGAAATAGTTTTTTCTATAAGCATCGAGGAAGGTCCAATCTCCGCTGGATTCGCAGTAGATACACATAATAAACCTGGTCTAAAGACAACAGAGCAGCACAGCCCAGACAAGGGCTCATCTGGCAGTGCTTGTCAAATCTCATTACCCAGAAAGCTTTGCAGTAGGCTTAACCTAGCTCTTAATGCTCTATCAGGGGCGGGGAAAGAGGGTAGAAGACTTAACTCCTAACACAAATACAAACTATAAAAACACTATGATTAAAAGGTTTCTTGGAATTGTCCTACCTGGTTTTCTGTAAATGCTGCAGGTTCAGAAAAAAATTGCAAAATAAACATTCTAAAAGGAAACATAAGATCGTTTAGTCCTATTTGAAAACAGAAACCCAAAACCAATGCATAAGAGAGCGAAAAATGTATAAACTTACTTTGATACAAAAATCTTTAGAAAATGAGAAAATAAAAGGACAACAGGATGTAAAATAGCTAATTAACTTAAAAGTAGGAGCTTACATGGAAAAGTAAAGGCTGAGAGGTTAAGATGCATTTCTATTGGCTGAAACTATCATTAATTATCCTGAAGCAGATGATTAGGAGTGTTTAGTAAAATAAACATACCTTTTTTATTACTACGAAACCTGACTGGAGAGGACATGTGCTCCATGGTGCTGCTGGTGTCCAGACTGTTTTCAGATCAGTGGTAGAAGCTTCATGTGACACCATCTGTGTGTGTGTGTGTGTGTGTGTGTGGGGGGGGGGGGGGGGGGGGGGGGCTCAGGGTGATAGTAACAAAGCTTAATCTTCCTCAAACAAGTTATATTATACAATTTCACTGTTACTAAAGCCAATAAACAACCAAGATTTTGACATGACATTTCAGTTTATATTGTTTATTTATTGTTATAAGTATATTTGAAGTTATTTTACCATTTTTTAGTTCACATGCGATCAAATATATATTTTTATGCTATTACTTTATGGAAGCCCATCACCACCACCTTGATGACAAAAAAAAAAAACTTCCATTCTACAATATTTTTCATCAGAGTGATAGAAATGGGTTTCCGTACGATCAACAAATAACTTAGTAAATCATTAATTCTCGTTAATGGTTGTTCTTTTTTTTTTTTTGTAGTTTGAATAAAACGATGAAAACAAAGTATGTCCATCCCTGACATTTATCATCTTTCTGTATTGTCGCTGAAAAATCTGTCAAATCCACTCTCAAAAATCTTTTTTATTGATTATCAATGATAAATCAGCAGTTCTTTCACAGCTCAGTGCATGGGACATGGGAAAATACGCAAGATAATCATATAAATAAGGCAGTAAAGAATAAAATTTAAAGTGGCATCTATTTCACAGCTTCTTGACTAAGTCAAAACAAAAACCCTTCCATCAGGCAGTTTGAGATGACATGTTTAGATGGCTAATGTGTAAGGAGAAATCGCCATGAGGAATAATCCAAGACATTGTAAAAACTGCCTCACTATAATCTACTCACCAAAGAGTGTTCACACCTTATTTTCCCAATGTGTGACTTAAATTTAAAATGGCAGTCTCAAAGATCATTAAAAGATTGAAAATTCTCAATAGTTGTGGCTGCTTCTGTAGTTATAGATAGGCTGATGGAACAATAAGCCCATATCCCCTATTGGGACTTCTGGATAACACATGACATGCGTGTGTTTCCATTTCACCAGGCCATGTCAGGCCTCAGTCTGGTAGAGTCACGGGGCGGTACTTGTGTAACTCATGCTGATTGGTTGTATTTGAGTAGGAAATGACATCGGCAGATGTCGCCAAACAACCGGCATTTGTAAAATTGGAAGAGCTGCTGGTGAAGCAAAATGGAAGAAAAAGAAAAAAGCATGTGTTCACACTGCTTTAAATGAGCTGTTTCTAAATACCCAGCGCCAAAAAATACAGAGAAAATCCATCCACAATGCCATAATTTTGGAAAAACAACACTTTGTTTTGGTCGATCAACGCTGCTTTTTACGTCACATGACTGTAAAAATTGATTCCGTTTTTGGCACTGACCAATGACATCACTCGCTGCCGAAGCGGTCTCAGTATGCTGACATCTTAGCAAAGTCCAGAAAAGGCTGCTTTTGCATGGGGTTGAAAGGACCAAGTCATCGCTATTTCTCTGTAACCTCCTCCCTCCCAAAAATGTCCCTTAACTCCTATAGTGAAAACATTTATTAGTTTATTTAGTCTTCGCATTGTGCAATTAGTTCATGTCAAGATGCACAAGGTTTACTACTAAACAAAACCTACATTCTGTCCCTCTGCAATCCCAATAAGTTGTATGTATCCAGTTGTATGAACACGTTTTCTCCAGAAATCTGACAAGGCATGGTGTATTGATAACACAACACTGGTCTCAGATCTGTAGACGTGTCCCATCTCAACCATTAGGTGAACAGTCAAAGAAAAGAACTGTCCTCTGTAGATCTGTCCCACAGCACTTTAGACGTCCTTTTAGACCTGCTTGAGTTGTCATGCAGTGGTGTCCTGACCTGCTGTGGTTGTAAGGGTTCGTGTTGGGATGTTGGTTGACCTGTAAGTTTACTGTCTTCATGAGTTTCACAATCAGACATGCCTAAATCCATACTTGTAGACCTGCAACAAGACTGACATGTGTCTTGTGATCCAGTCTTCATATCATGGCCATTGTCACAAACTTGTTGAAACCCATTCAATTCCTTCCTATTTATGCTATTTTGACTGTGGCTCTGTGGTTCAGGTGCTGAACTCTTTTGCTTGTGAGAAACAAGAGGCGCATCCTGGTTGTGAGTGCTTTTTGGGGTGTGATTCTCCCAGAAGGCTCTAGAGACATGCTCCAGCTCAGAAAGCAGAGGCAGACTAATGTCCAGGTGCATCAACATGTTGTCCAGCCACTCCTCAAGCTTTGAAAACGAGGGACTGAAAAGTAAAAAGATGCAGAATATATGAGAGTCATTCAAAAATACGTGACCTGACTGAACAAGATGCCCATCATTTCTGAGAATAATGTCCTTCTTTATTAAATATTCATGCCATCATACCGTTTATCAGCATCCATGTTACAGCAGGCGGAAGCCATTGGCAGGAAGGCAGAGGGGCACTCTGCAGAGAGATACTGCTGCAGGAAACTTTCCACGTTTAAACCAAAGTCATTTGTCCTGGGAAGGTAATCTGGATCAGCGCTCACTCTTCCGATAATCTGAGGAGAATTAAAGATAAATACGTTTAGTTTTTGTTTTACTGATTATTTTAGAAGTCATTTCTCAGTCAACTCCAAAGTTTGTGGTTTTATTCAATTATTTTCCAGAATATTTCAGTCTTGTCGGATGTTCTTACCTCACATGTCATAATTCCAAAGGAAAATATGTCCACACGTTCGTCATAGCTTTTCCCTGAGAGGCAAAGAGAATAGATTAAAAAATGAGAAGCACTTCGAGGAAGAATCAAAAATTTCTCCCAAAGGTTTCTTTGTGTTGGTCAGCGTGAGTGAAACTTACCATGGATCATCTCAGGAGCCATCCAGTAGGGGTTTCCTACCACCGTATATCGCTTCCTCCGGTCTGGTCTGCGGAGCTCCGACAGCGACCCCCTTGCAGATCGTTCCAATGAAGATGTTTTGCTCTGATTTCTCTCTTCCATCACCAGCCTGGCAAGTCCAAAGTCTGCCACCACCACAGACTGATTCTAAGGCAAACAGACTAGAAAATCTTAAAACACTTGTTTAATCAAAATATTTGCAGTGGTCTCTAGTAGAATGAATGCCCTGTAAGTCGTACTCTGGGGAAATAAAGCTCAGATGGAAGAACAAGTCAGCTGGAGGACAATGCAGATTCAGACGTCAGGACTTGGACTCTAATATTTGGACATCTAGCCTCTGATGGGCAAACAGCAATGCTACTCCACCACTGACTCAGTTTGCTTTGCAGTGTTGTTTTTTTATCTCCACAGACAACACAACCCTGAAGGAATTCTTCCGTTTCCTGGATATGCTAATGCTAACAGTTAGCTTCTACTAGCCAAGACATCCTCTGCTGTTTCCTGAATGCTAAACAGACTTCTTGGCCACGAGTCAACATGGGTGAGTCCATGAATGTTAAGTGTCAGTGTGATGTAGATCTCAGGCTTTTCAAATCCTAGTGTTTCATTGTCTATTTTCCATCAGAAGCTAATGCAGTAGATAGGTGTAGGAGACTTTTTTCACGTTTGAAACCAGGAAGAGGTAAATATTTATCATGCAGATCATGGATTCACTCGCTCACCTCTCTGACCAAACAGTTGTACGAGTTCAGATCTCTGTGGATAACATTCATGGAGTGTAGATATGCCTTTCGAGGGGAAATTTTTTTTACATCAAACAATGTTTTAGGATGTATTTGTTTTAAGGTTCTAGAATATTAAGCAGAAACCCTCACCATTCCCGCAGCAATGTCTTTGGCATAGCCGACTCTTACCCTCCAGGGAAAATCCTCCTCCTGCGATTAGATAAGAACCAGCTCACCTCACTGCTGGGGGATCCAACAAAGGCAAAAGCTAACCCTACTCACCATTTTTATGATCGTCTCTCTGAGAGTACCACCTTGGATGTACTCTGAGACAAAATGAATTCTTTTGTCCTTATAGAACAGTCCAATGAACTTGAGAACGTTTGGATGGTCAAGACAGCGCATCACTTTCACCTGAAGAGATTAAGGAACTCAGGTTCAACAGATACTGTGTAAATTCAAAGTGGATCTCTTAGAGCTGCTTCATAAATCTTTTACTCTTACCTCCTTTAAAAATGTGCTCTGTGTTTCTTCATCAAAGCGTATCAGCTCTTTCATCACCATCACCTCCCCTGTTTCCTGATGCGTGACCTTTACAGTGAAGTTTAATAACAGTGTTGATTTGAACAAATTCTAAATGCAATACACATATGTATATATATATATATATATATATATAAAACTGCAGTAGTACCTTTACAGCTTGTCCAAAGCAGCCCTTGCCCAATACTTCTCCATGGATGAGATCTGAGGGTCTGAAGATACGATGTGTGCGTTCCCCGGGGTCTACTCTGAGAGACTCTGAACGAACCATGTCTCTCTTTTGAGATATAAGGTTCAATGTTCCAGGAGACAGACGACACTTGTCTATGCTACAGCTGCGCCTGGAAAAGAAAACGTGGCTTAGACAGAAGCAAAGAGACAAGAAGTCAGCGAGACTTGGCCGACAGCACTTACAAAATGTGTCTAGATCGAATCCCGGTGTTTCCTTGGTAGTGATGTGGCGAGAGGCTCCTCCTTTCCTCCTCTGCGCCCTGATTTTTGTTTGGCTCTTCTTCCAGGCTCGGGAGATTTGGGGCTGAAGCAAGTGTGTCACAAAGATGAGAGTCAGAACAGCTGTTGTTGACTGGAGGACTGTCAGATCCAAGGAGACTGTGAGAAGACTGCGGGTTGTATTCAATGGTCAGCTGCAGCGGTCTGCGTGTGTCCTGAATAACACGGATTATCTAGAACAAAAGATGTTGAGTTTACTTTGGTATATCTTATTAAACATCACCCGTTGAAGAGCTACCGCCACCATGTTGCAATGATGATACCTCATCTGGAGAAATGTTGTGGACTGGGATGCCGTTGACCTCCACTATTTGATCACCAACTTGGACAGAAGAGAGCAGGTCAGGGCTAAGGACAGTTGAGTCTAATCTGAAGCAGAGTAAAAACCAGTTAATAGATGAAGAAATGGTGCAGGATGAAAGACTGAAACTAATAAAGAAACCTGGAAAACTGCACAAACCAGTCCCAGTGTGGATACATTTAGCGGGGACATTTAAAGGATCTCGTGTCAGGAAGGGCAGCAAAGAAGCCACTTCTCTCCAAGAAAAGACGTTCAGCCATGATACAATGATTTCAAAGTGTACAAATGAAGAGGAGTTCTACAATAAGCCGTACACCTGGGGAACAGTGAATCATCCCAAGACCATTAATAAGTAAGGTTATTTACTGGCCAAGACAAGAGAGAGGGCAGAACACCAAAAATAAAGACAGGTACCAAAATATCTTCCAAGAGGAACTTCTTCTAGCCATCCAAGGCTATTTTGCTGATGAACAATTACTTTTCCAGCAAATTGGAGCAACATGCCTTGAGGCCATCGACATATATACTGGACAGTTCATTTCCATAGGCTCCAATAACAAGTTTTTGTGCTAAAATGGGAGGTGGCCACCACCGCCATTTTGACCGTGTCACAGGTTCCGTCCAGCCCAGACAATTCCATAAAAGGGAAGAGAGGAGGAGCTGAGGGTGGGGCTGTAAGGCTGGGATCAAGTGACGACACCCGGTCGAACTAGCTACAAGCTAACCTGAAGCTAACCCAAAGCTAACGCGGAGGTGGGAGCCGAGCTAACGGATGTAGCCACCTAGCTACAACCGGAGCTAACTCTGTGGAACACCCATCGACCGCATGGAGTTCAGGTGGAGGTTTGCGGTGCTTTTTCATGAGAAGTACCTTTCTGTGAATAAAAAATATTAAATCGGTTAGTTTATAAGTTATTTCCGTAATGAAAATATATTTTGCTTTGAGCAAGATTTCACTATTTATCACGTACCGTATTTTCAGGACTATTAAGTCGCTCCTGAGTCGCACCAGTCATTAAATGTATAATGAAGAAGAAAAAAACATATATAAGTCATATTTTGGGGGGAAATTTTATTTTTCTTACAAAATCTGAGACAAAGCGACGCGTTTCACATTGCAAGACAAGTACCGGTAACAATAACCGAATAATGCGCCGCAGCAGTGTGCCACGGTCTTCAGCAGAGGAAGGCGGTGTTTGAAACCCTCCCAGCGGGACAGGGAAACTCATTCTTGGGTCGGAGTCGGCCATTGAGACTCAAGTGATAATTAAGTGGCTCAGCAAACATAATCACCACATTTTTGGTTCATGTTCAAGAAACTCAAGAGTTGGATGAACTGGACCAAAAAAAGTTTTAGACTAGGTCACATCCTCCTGCATTTTATCAAAACAGCCATTCGAACACAATAGAGCCTAACAAAATCAATGATGCCTTAGTGTAGGCAGGAAGGGTACTCATTAAGAAACACCAGACAGCTAAAGTTTATAAGCTTGACCCTCCCGTATTCCAGTCAGAATAAAGCTCCTCAGATGAGAATCAAAGCTTTTTCAAGAAACCAAAAAAAAATAAAATAAAATAAAATAAAAAGTTCAGTTGCCTTCATTCTAACCCCTTTGGGTTACCTTGACCTGGATGACTGAGAACCTTCACCAACAAACAAGAATCCCATAATTTCTGATAAACTCTCAGCATTGATTATGCAAGAACAAGCCACCATCGGTCAGTATTTGACCGGAGTTGATTGACAGCATGTAAGAGAGTCTTTGCAAAAGCTTTATGCAATTGTCAGTAAAGTCTTTAAAAATGTTATTAACTGCATGTAATTACTTCTTAGCTAGACCTACGCCTGAAGAACTGTTTGCAATCAACAACTAAATATGATTACTGTAAATGAGTGTATTTATGATTTGCTTGCTTCAAACTAAAAAAATAAAAAATGAATAAATATTTTTCAATAACTGAATGCAGAGTTAGCTCATATCTGAGATTCAGACACTCACTTTGTGACTGTGATGAGAGGTTTTGTGTCCTGGCTGAAGTCAGTGGCAAAAGTCAGGCCTCGCTGACCAGCAGCAACAGGAGGGAGCGACACCAGCGCCACCATGTGGGGTCTCTTTGCAAGGGTTGCTGATTTCACCGCTGGAACAACACCCTGACAGAAACAGTGTCCACTGAGGAGACACAAGAAAGGTGACATAGAGGAAAATGACAATAATGTCTTCATGTTTTTTATTTTTCAATATTTGGTTTTACCAGTAAAGTTTGGAGCGTTCAATAAGCATGCAAGTGTCTCCGTCTCCAATGACCATTTCACAGCTCATGCAGATGAAGCACTCAGGATGGTACTTCTGCTCTCCTGCAATCTGCATGTAAAGACACAAATTGTTGTCAAACACTTGTAGTTTAACCCATTAACTGGCAAATCCATCACAATAATTCTCTATTGCTTATTTCAAGGCAAGGCAGCTTTTTTGTACAGCATATTTCACACACAGAGGCAATTCAATGTGTCTTCCATTAGCAAGAATAGCATGAACATTAAAATAAACGTGACAACACGATTAAAATACACAAATACATTGAAATACACAAATTAATTTCAGATTTAAGAATAAATATATATATAAAGTTAAAGGGAGATCAGTTACAGTGCAGAAGGTGCAGCATAAGAAACATTAATTCAAAGGCTGATGGATACATGAAAGTTTTCAATTTTGATTTAAAAGCTACTACAAATAGGACAAAATTGAGGTCATAAGGAAGCTGATGCCATCTGTGTGCAGCATAGTAGCTAAAAGCAGCTTCACTCTGTTTGGTTCTGACCCGAGGTTCTACAACCTGACTGTTTCCTAAGGATCTCAGAGCCCTGCTCGGTGTAAATACTGTAAGGAGATCCGAGATGTATTTTGGCCCTGTGCCATTAAGTGGTTTATAATCTAGTAGAGGCACTTTGAAATGTTTTCTGTAGTTTTCTGATAATAGTGTAGAGATTTAAGAACAGGAGTGATGTGTTCGGTTCTCTTGGTTCTAATTAAGACTCTAGCAGCAGCATTCTGAATTACTGAGCAGTTTCTTGGGAAGCCAAAGCCAAAAAATTTTAGTACAAATTAAGAATTTAACAGAACTGAAAACTAACTTTTTTTTCTCTCGGTGCGGAAGATTTTATTTACTTTTTGGGATAATTATAAACAGTGCTTTTTCAGGAGGTTTTTGAAGGATATCCCCAGGATTAGTTTAATAATCAAACAAAAAAAGCTTTCATACCTTCCGGGCCATTTGTATCAAATCTCTATATAAACTTAGGAAGCCTTTGAAGATATTAATAGTTAATGTCATGCTGAGATGTGCTATTCTTCATTGTGGTTGGAGAATTTCATATTTCTCTGCTCTGTTATAGTAATGGGCTGCATGGTGGCACAGTTGTTAGCACCGCTGCCTTGCAGCAAGACGGTTCCAGGTTCAAAACTCAGCTGTGGCCTTTGTGCGTGAAGTTGCATGCTCTCATGTATGTGTGGGTTTCCTCCAGGTGCTCCAGCTTCCCCCACAGATCACATCATGCCCTATAGGTTAAAAACTGTATGTTGCTTTGGATTTATTTGCCAAATAAATAAACATAATAAAACAATGTTCTCCTTTAACTTCCTGCATGGTGAACGTCTGTTAAAGTCCCATTAGCTGTCACACACACTGATGTGTGTGCGAAATTTGTTCTCCGCATTTGACCCATCAACTGGGGGAGCGGTGAGCTGCAGACACAGCCGCGCTCGGGAACCATTTGGTAATTTAACCCCCAATCCAACCCCCTTAATGCTGAGTGTCAAGCAGGGAGGCATTGGGTCCCATTTTTTCAAAGTCTCTGGTATGACCCGACCAGGAATCGAACCCTGATCTCCCAGTCTCAGGGCGGACGCTCTACCACTAGGCCACTGAGCTGGTAAGGGTTAGGGTCAGGGGTGCCTTTTTAATTCCTAATGGCTTTGTGAGTGTTTCTTCCATAAGAAAGTTTTATAATAATCCGTTTTGTCCTTTGCGATGACACTTTCCTGTTGAATAACCGGTGCTTTTACTGATCAATAAACCAGCTATTTTTAAAATCACCCTCCAACTATCAATCAATTTGTTCCTGTCTGTGTGTCAAAGGCTTTTGAGCAAGTGGGTAAACAAAATACAACGTTGGCTTGGACTAGTTGCATTAACATGTCTGTATGTGAAAGAAATAAAGCATCATTTCTGTTTTTCTTGTTTACTTGATGCTGACTTGAAAATGAACAGTTCTTGTGTTACCTTACCATGACAAGCCCTGTTGTGATGGCCTCCTTGCAGCCATGGCAGTGTTCTCCAAACCGAGACCAGTAGTGCTTCTTACAGAACAGCTGTCCCTCTCTTTCATAGTACCAGTGAGACAAGATGCATCCACATTCACAACACCTGCAGACAAATAGAAAGGAAAGAAAACAGCAGTAAATGAAGAGATTTTGTTGCAGGACTTTTGGACGTCGTATTCTGAGTTTTGGTTTATTTTCTGAGTTTTTTTTTTAAATCCATTTCCTGTTGAGCAACAGCTCATCTGAAGCCAGGCTGTTGAATGGGGGCTTAAAGGCGTGTTTTTCTGACGTAATTAGTTTTGTTGATGACAGAAAAGTAATTTGAGAGCAAATTTAACCTTTGATCTTAAATTTCCGCGATCATACTTTTTGTGGATCTGCAAGGGAATCTAACAATTCCCTGATTTCCCACAAAAATCTCTACTCATCTCTCATCTTTTTGTATATTTTAATGATGGCCACCTGAGCCAGGTCACAACAGAGCTAGCCAAACATTCACATGCACGACCCACATACACCTAAATGAGAAAGGACAATCTGGATGAGAGGAACGTTCACACTTGATACAAAATAAGATGGATCATTCGCATTGAAATAATCCATTTATGTCGAATTGGAAAAACAACATTGAGCCGGAGGTCTGAGGTTTCCACCCTTGAACTCTTACAACAACAGCTCTGAATCTGATCCTCAGACAGTTTCACCTCCGTGCACACCTTCAAATCCCCCCTCATGTGGGCCAGGACAACAAAGACCCGAGCAACCCTCCAGAGGGAGGGGAAGGTTTAATAAACCAGCTTTCATTGACAAAGCTCTCCTTGCTGTTTAAAAAGCACAATACTCAACACTTTTCCTTTTGAATGAATGAAAGCTCCTCAGATGACAAACATCTGTGTCAATAAAGAAGTCTGGTTACCTTTGTTCAAAGCTCTATTTTCAGTTTGCATCACATTAGCAGCCTTCCCCCTTGCTACATCAACCTCACTGGTTATAAACGTGTGACCAAATTATTTTAAACTCACTGTGTGGTTGCAAAACAACATTTGAGCTCCTTACATTTGTGAAGTTAAATTGGTTTTTCTAGAACAACATTTAAAACTTTAGAGGCTGCTTTAGGAACGTGTTTGGTTTCCGGTTTTTATCTGGTTATTTCATTTGTTAAAGGACCACTTTTGGCCTCCAGGTTGTACTTTTTAAAACCGAGACACCAAGCTGCTGCTTTTTCACCGTTGTGTGCCTAGAGGAAGTGCAGTCATAAGATGCATAAGTGATACTGCTTAAGTCACAATGACAGAGCACATTCATCCATTCATCAGTTCACCCATCCACGGGTGATGCTTTAAACCAGAATCCAGCCTTTATTACAGTTATCAAATTGTTCCTAAAGGAAAATTATTACATGTTATTTTATGAAATTTGGGAATATTTTTTCTCTTTTAAGTCCTGAAACTCTTTGCAGCATCCTGGCTGCAACAATGACAAAAATCGTGCTTCCTTATCTCATCAACACTAGCACCGGAGTGGGAGGTGACTTCCTGAATCCACGTTTCCTCTCTTCTAACCTAAACTGGAAATTTCAAAAGCTTCTTACAGTGAACAGGAACGAAATAGGAGTCTAATATTTAGAGGGCAAGTTAGAGGAAAGCATAAACACTGTTGTCGATCAGACTTTTGATCTTATTTAGAAACATTCTTGAACACAAGACAATAGAAGATTATGTGATATTTGTATATTTTCATTAAAAGGTCATAACATTTTATATATGGGGCGACGGTGGCACAGGAGTTAATTCCTCGCCCCGTAATTGGAAGGTTGCAGGTTTGAGCCCCACTCAGTCTGTCGCTGTCGTTGTGTCCTTGGGCAAGACACTTAACCCCCCTTGCCTGCTGGTGGTGGTCGGAGCTTGGACGTAATTTTTTTGGGGGGGGACGGGGGGACATGTCCCCCCCCACTTTTTCCAAAGTCAAGTTTTGACCCCTGTACTTTTTACCATCCAAAAACAATATAACGCTATGTTAAATTGACACTGATTGAGCTCTAGGACCAAGCAGAAAACAACCGTTTGTGTTGAAGCCTGTTTCCCATTAGAGCATACTGTAACCCCCCCCCCCCCCCCGTGTCCCCCCCACCCCCCCACCTCTAAAGTGAAAATTACGTCCATGGGTTGGAGGGACCGGTGACGCCAGCGTACGGCAGCCTCGCCTCTATCAGTGCGCCCCAGAGCAGCTGCGGCTATGATGTCACTCATCCCCACCAGGGTGTGAATGTGTGAATGACTGCTTGTGTTGTAAAGCGCCTTGGGGGGTTCCAGGACTCTAGAAGGTGCTATATCAAATACAGGCCATTTACCATAAATGTTGGAACTTGTGAGTCGTTGTTTACTGTTGTAACAACAACACTTTGTTCTCTTTTTCTGATTTTTTTTTCTTACTAAGAAGAATGATTTAATGGCAGAAATCCCTGCATTAAACGTAGAGGCACATTTCTGACGGCTCAATAAAAAACATGAAGCTCTGAGGAAATAATTAAGTAATAAAGCAGTCACAAAGCTGCAGTTTTATTTTTGTCTCCTTTGTTATAGTTCTGCTGGCAACTGATGTGGAACCTTTCAGTTTCACATCTGTGATTATACTAGAACATCTGGTGGTGATGAGATCCCGGATTCAGCTCAGGGAATTATTTTCTCTCTACTTTCCTAATATTTATGATTCACCATCCGTATGTGTTTTTGTCCCTTGCTTCCAAACACACATTTCCTATGTTCTCTTTTGTTGTTGCACGTTGGCCACATGATATCTGTGCATCAAGAATGTGAAAATGTCTTAAAAATATTTAACATTTTTTATTTATTCTGCTAGTTTTTAGGTAAAATGTCTCAATCAAGCTGTAAGATGTAGAAAAAGAACATTTCTGAAAATCGACAGTCATTAACACATTTTCATTTTTCTTCTAAACTTTTCACCAACATATGAAGTTAATCTGAAACTACTCGGCCCCGGTTTGAGGAAGTCAGCTTGCAGAAGTTATGCTACTCTTCTCTTGTTGTCCTCTCACCCGTCTCATTCTCTCCACCTTCTGTTTCTCTTTTCCTTCCACTCAAATCCCTCATGAGTGAACAAATCAGTGTCCTCACCTTCCTTTCATTCCCCTCCGAAACCTCTGGTCCCTTCGTGACATTCTGTCCTGTCAAATGACTGACACAAACCACTCAGTCCGTCCAGCTGAGGGAGAAGCTGGTTGGCTGCATGCGTTGTTCAGAAGCAGATCACGCTGCTGTGATGGCGGTAGGCGTCCCCTCTCACTGTTCTGTCTTCTCCCCATACGTTTAAAAGCTTCCTGTGCGTGTGTTCCTCCTCTGAGGTGAGTAGATTTTCGAGAAACAAGTCTGACCCTTCTGACACTCACAAGCTGCAAGAAAACACCCATCCCAGTTAGTTTCTCTGCTCCTCCCTTTCCTGTTGCTTTCAGTGTGTAGATACAGTTACACGCCTCTAAATGTAGTTTTAAAATGTGCTCACCAGATGGTTGTTCATTTGATTGAAGTGTGTGTGTGTGTGTTTCTCAACCGTGGAAGTCTGTTCTGAGATCAGCCTTGTGCTTCCCATCAGCTCAGGTATAATCTCTTTATGAATGCTCTAATTAGCACACTGAGATCCGCACAGAGGAGCGCTTCATTCATTCATTTGGTCCCTGATCCAGAGAAGGGGACAATTGTGAATAGAACAACAACAATTGGTGGTGTTTGGTTAAAAGTGTAAATTATCAGACTATTTGTTTTAATGTTTTGGTACATTTTCCACTGATTGCTTCAAAAACACTCAGGTTATCCCACTCATGCAGGTTTGAAATTATTTTAAATATTTGTGATAAATGCAGCTGCAGCTAAATAGCGCATTGCATGTTTTTCTTGACTTTGTTCTCTTTTAATTTAGAATTTGATGAGCTTGAAGGATGTGAAAGACATAATTTGTTTTCGACCATTCATTTATTTCAAATCTGGTTCATTTATCATGATTTTACTCAGCATCATGTTTGTCAGAGTTTTTTTCAGAGTTTTGAGAAAAGTTGTTGAAAAATGGTATAATGTCAGAGGAAAAGGTCTTTGGAAAACATGTTAATGCCTGTTATTACCCCCCCGCTCCCATCCACCCCTCAAAAAGGGGTCGAACAAGAGGAGCACATTCCTACAGATGTCACGCCCAACAATAATCACTTTTAACATCAGCTGGCTTTAATCTAGAGCGCAAAAATGCGAAACACATGCTGCCTGAGTAGACGAAACACTATACACAAAGTTGAAAATAACTTCATTTTTAGAGTGTGAATGTGCATATTTCCTTTATTACACAACAAACCGCTGACTATCAGTTTAATATGGTAATAGTAGTTTCTCAGCAGACCTCAAAAGCATTTGTTGTTGAAGACATTTGAGAAATCAGTGAAAGCACAGATGTATTAATGAGGGCCGCATTCCATTTCAAAAGTTCTGTTTGTTAGTGTTGCAGAGAGACCAGCATGCATGGTTGCAGAAGTGGAATGAAGCTCTTGTTGACACACATGTTGTTTATTTACTCCTGTTATCCAAAATGACTGACTTTCCTAACTACACAGATTAATTACAAACCTTCTGGATTACGATACATATTTGACGTTTTCTGACTTGACAAAGAATTCCTCCACCTTTAAAGGTTTAATCAATGCATTTTTTTTAGTTTAGTTTAGTTTATTTCAAACAAAGAAAACATACATAATTTTTTAAAAAGTACCACAAACAGAAAAAATACATATCATCCCATCTGTGTTTGAAAAGGAGTAGGCTGAAGTGGAAACTTATATATCCCTACCCCTTTATACAAGTCATTTTTACTTGTTTACTTAAATCTAACACAAAACCTACATTAAAACAAACAAAATGGTACAAGTCACCAAAAAACCACCAAATTATATGGAAAAAAACAAAAAAAGAAAAAAAACATCTTTTTACAATTGATACAATTTACTCTTCCTTGGAATAAAGGACACCCACATAAATCATCTATTTTCCACTATATACTTGTTCAGAATATGTTTTTTATAATTCATTTTAAACACATTTATATTTGTGCTTACTTTGATTTCTTCTTCTAAATTGTTCCATAATTTAACCCCTATTATTGTGATACACATCTGTTTTAATGTTGTTCTAAACTTATGTATCTTTAAGTTTAGTGTCCCTCTCAGGTTATATCCTCCTTCTCTCTCTGTGAACAGTTTCTGTATTTTATCAGGCATTAATTTATTTCTTACTTTATACATTATTTGTGCTGTTTTGTATTTAACCAAGTCCTGGAACTTCATTGTCCGTGTTTTAATAAAAAGTTCATTTGTGTGATCCAAATATCCTGCATTTGTTATTAATCTGATAGTCCTTTTCTGCATTGTCATTATTGTTTGTAAACGACTTTTGTACATGTTTCCCCAGACCTCTACACAATAGCTCAAATATGGCAGTAGCATCGTATTGTATAATATATAAAGTGCTTTCTGATTAAAAATATACTTAGCTTTCCCCAATATAGCAATGCCCCGTGCAAGCTTCCCCCTAACATATTTGATGTGTGGCTTCCAACAGATCCTGCTGTCTATGACCACCCCAAGAAATTTTATTTCATATACTCTCTCAATTTTTACATTATTAATTACTATATCTAATTCATTGTATCTACTTTCATTACCAAACAACATAAATTTTGTTTTCTCTAAATTTAGTGACAGTTTATTTACATCAAACCATTTTTTAAATTTATTTATTTCCTGTGTGACCACATCCAGGACCTGTTGCAATTCCACACCCGAGCAAAAAACATTTGTGTCATCTGCAAACAATACAAACTTCAATACTTGTGAAACCCTACAAATGTCATTTATGTACATTATGAATAGTTTAGGTCCTAAGACTGATCCTTGAGGTACCCCACATTGTATCTCTCTTAGTCCTGATTTATGTTGATTTATTTGCACATATTGTTGTCTATTTGATAAATAACTTTTTATCCATTTGCAGCGGTCTCTCTAGAATGAATGCCTTTTCATACTCGGAGATCAAAAAACACTGGTGCACCAGGAACTAGAAATGAGCCACATCACAGCTCAGCTTCGGAGTATTATCTCCTGATATTTGGACATCTCGCCCCAGATTGGATAACAGCTGTGCAACTCTTACCACTGACTTGCAACATTGATGTTTTATCTCCACAAAAAACTTGAGCCTGAAGGAGTTCTGTTTAGAGACGCTAATGCTAACAGTTAGCTTCTACTAGCCGAAACGTTCTCTGCTGTTTCCTGGAAGCCAAACCAACAGCAGCTCTCCCCGTTGAGTCACGATGGGTGAGTCCATGACTTTTAAGTGACAGTGTGACACATATCAGTCAGGTTTTTCAAATTCTAGAGTTTCACCGTCTATTTTCTTTACAGATTTTTTTCGATTGCTAAAACGCGTTTTTCAAAACTGTACATTTCTTTCAAAACTGCACACACAAAACCCCAAACATAACACACAAATTCCTAAACCGTGGCTTCCCTTTGCAACAAAACCCTGCCATCACATATCGTAACATGTTCCCAAAATGGAACACGTGTTTTCATTTGGTAAACACAGCCACATTTTCACATGACACACACATACCATACATTACTTAAACACAAGCGGCCTTTGGGTGAACACTACCAAGCATGGAAAGAACACTGAAGAGCAAAACTGAAAACACAATTGTCTAAATGGAACACAATGAATTACACACTGAATCCATTACAATGCCCTCTCTCATTGACAAACATTCGACATCACACAAATTTTGAGACAAAACATTTTATTTTTACAGTTAAGCCCCTCCCATTCAAGCATAATCATTGGGCATCATGCCTCCAGTCTCTGTCTGGCCAGAGGGCCTCATCAACATCACAGGTGATGTCCTCCTGGTCCAAACAGCGCTGGAAGTACCGCCTCGAGTGCCTCATGAAGCCCAGACAGGGCTCAAAGGCCACATCTCTACAAGCCTCCTCCATGGCTTGAAGCAGTGGGACCTGGCTCTCTGGATTCCTTTCGTACACCTTCCACCTCCAGGCTGAGAAAAACTCCTCAGTGGGATTGAGGAAGGGGGGATAAGGTGGAAGGTATAAAATGGAAAATGGTGGGTGGTCCTGAAACCACTCATACACCTGGCACTGTGGAAACTTACTTTTATGCTGCAGTCCCTGATTGCAAATTGCTCGCCAGACCCAAAAGTTTAGTGATTTGAATATTTGTGTGTTGTTGATTGAAGCTTTGAGAATTTATGTGGAAAGTGTGTGTAAACCTGAAAATTGTGTGTTGTGTTTTGACAGCAAGGTAATGTGAAATTGACATCAGAGTGTAAAGGAGGAAAATCAGAGTTCTAATATGATAAGGAAATCTTAAGTAGTGATAAATTGAGTCAAGCGATTGGGAACAGAAGTAGAGGTTGTGAAAATTGTGCCTCATTTTTGCTTTTTGAGTTTTAGCAATCGAAAAAATCTGTAATGCAGGAGATAGGTGTAGGAGACTATTTTCATGTTCAGCCTACATAAAAACTCACAGTGACCAAATGTAATCAGAAATAATCATTTTTCAATGGTTTTAAAGTCTTCCACACCTTTAACATTTGATTTTACATACCAGCTGACATAATTAAGGCTTTTACTTGCTCTACCAAAAGCTTCAATAGGCCCAAACAAAACTGCAGACAAAAAGCTTCCTCTTGCTTGAAAGTTTTGTATTTTATTGCACAAAACTGCCCCCAAATTGGTCAAATACTGTAGAATATAGGCCTAAGTAAAAAAAATATAACATCAAACAAAAAGAGGCATTATTGGTCATCTTTTTACTTCAAAAAAATGTACAAAAGTGCATTGTTTTCCTCAGGCAAAATAACAGAGAATTTAAAACAAGTTAAGTTGCACAAATATAGCTACAAGCACATACTAAAACTCAGGTTCTTGTTTTTTAATACATCTAGACTGCATTGCAATTCAAAACACATTTAAGGACGTAGTAGAAAACTAAGCACTTTTATTTATATAAAGGTGTTGCAGGAGGTTCAAAACCATAAAAACACCTAATCAAAGAGGAAGTTGGTCAATTATGTTGTAAAATGAGTCTAAATGAACTTCTCAGCATAATTTTAAAACTCTAGTAAATGCAAACAGTGTTTATGGAGGTACATCAAAAAGAAGAAAAACATCATTTTCAAAACTCGGATGTCATTTGAATGCACCGTCATGTGCTTTAGTCAAAATACCTCACATTAAATGGAAAGGCTTTATCAGCATTAAATGCATTTGCTCAAAAAAGCACTTTAAACATGTTTGTGTTTGTAAAGAAAACTGAAAATTTGAGGAACAAGAGTTAACATCTGCAGATTCTAAGAACAATGACAAGAGCAGAGGAAACTTTTCAAAGATCAGATAAAGAGCAGACAACAAAGTCTAGAAAGAAACATTGCAAAGTCCATTTTTTTTGTCTGACCCTGAAATAACTGCAGTTTGAATTTTGCTTTCCTCATTATCCATTCTTGATTTTGAATTAAGTGAGGAGGATGTTGAACCGGCAGCATAAATAAAGGTGAAACAACGAACACCCAAGATAACCATTATAGAGTGTTTTTTAACACTGTGTCAGCATGCAGACAGGTCGAAGGGAGCCGCCCTGAGGGAGTCCTTGGCTTCTGGCACAGTGCATTAAAATTCTTGCTCAGTAACACAAATCATACTCAACACATTTCTTTAAAAAAAAAAAAGAAGCTTTTTTCCCAACAGCTTGGCCTTGCTGATAAGACTCTTTATTTCAGCTTCTGCCTCTAATGGAATGGATCCACAAAAACACTGAACACTAAAAATAATATAGAAAAAAAATCATACTAACTTCTTTAGTCTCAATATGTTGATTTAAGGGTGAACATTGAGCTACGATGCATTCAAACAGCTGAATTAAAACAAATAATACATCAGAAAAACACTTTTTTCCTCAGAGTGGATCTTGTGTAAATTCTAGGCTATGAGGAACACGATGAGGCCGCCACGTTTGAGAAAGACAAGAGCTTCACAATCTGTAATCATGCTATAGCACCACTGCTGTTTCAGTGAGGTCACCTCCTGGCGGTTGGGTTCTCACTTCCTCCTCCTCCCGCAGTAGTTACCCTGACAGCCAGCACCTAAGAAGCAGAACAACAGCTGTTATTTGTGTGCACTATTAGCACAAGGTGAGACAAGAAGTCAAACAGTGAAGGAATTGTCTTTCCTCACAGTGCAATTCAGTTTTTTTTTACTCTAAATGTTTTCTTGGTGACACATTTCCTGCATTTGTAAGTATGATCATGTGCTGCATTGGCCTAACTGAACCCTAACCCTAACCCAGTGACCCAAAGTTAAAATATGTGATATATCTTACCTCTGTAGCCTCCAAGAAAGGCCTGCATGGCTGCATATTTAGCTGCCTTCTGTGCCTTAGCTGAGGAAGGTGGAGAAAAAAAAGTTGTGAGGGTGCTGATAAGAAAAGAAACATGCAAAAACATTTTTTGCAACAAACATTAGCAACGACCTCTAGATTTTATTTCATTGCACAATAATTCGACACAAATGGCGAACACCTAAAAGGCCTCTTTTAAAATACCCTAAACACGTACATGTTTTTTTTCTTCCAGAGAACAAAGAAATTTTTCTTACATTTTTGTCCAGTTCCTGCATATCCTAGAAAACAATAGCAGGAAAGATTAGTCATAAATATCTCACAATGTTCACTGTTTCATTCAGGTTTACAGTGATGTGTGTCTGTGACAGTTTCCTCCTGCATGTTGGATCTACCTGGATATACTCCTCCTGCTACTCCACCATATCCCGGACCAGCACCCCCTGCTGGAGGAATTAACACTTTACATCCCAGCAGTCAGACAAGATTTTGAATGTGAGTGCATTTATTTTCCAAAACAAGATAAGAATACAGAGAACATTTTTTTCAGGTCTCTTTTTGAGCTCACCTGGAAGGCCAGCGACTCCTCCTACAGTCTGGCTTGTTCCTCCTGCTCCCCCTGGGCCCCCCACACCAGTACCTGAATAGGTGAGACAGAACTAATGAGAAAAGAGCTAAATTAAGCTCAGTACCACAGAACATTTTAGAACCAGACCTGTGGGTTGAGTTGGGCATACAGTATGCAGTAATATATTTTCATTTATTTGATTTACAGTTATCCCTTTTGTTTTAAATGCAAAAGTTAAAGCCGTACCCGGACCTCCCCCTATGGCACCTCCTGTTCCTGGTCCAGAAAGACCTCCTGTTCCTGGGCCAGGTGAACACAGACAACATTAGGTGATGCTGACTCGGGTTAAAGGTTTTCCCAATTTCGAATGTTTGTTAACCTTTGAGCTAGGTTATTTAACATTTAAATTAAACATTTTGTTTTATTTTATATCATTAGAATTTTTTTTTACCTGGTCCATATCCAGTTCCACCCAAAGATGAACCATATCCAGATTTAGCAGGCTTTCTTGTTCCAAGATTTTGGCCACCAGGTCCAAAACCCCCTGGTAAGCTTCCAGCACCACCTGGACCAAAACCACCAGTACCAGCACCTCCTGGACCCAAACCACCAGGTCCAACACCTCCTTGAACAAAGCCACCAGAAGGACCTGTCCCAGCTCCACCTGGTCCATATCCTCCGGGACCAAAGCTTCCAGGTCTAGTTCCAGTGTCTCCAGGACCAGTACCACCTCCAACACCTCCTGCCAGGAAAAACATAGATTATCATACAAGCACATCTACAAATTATATTAAAGTGAAAATTGGGAGATAAATATAGCTTGACCTGTTCCATAACCAGTTCCGCCGTAACCTAATAAAAATGAAAAAAGAGACAGGTGTGTGTTTTAAAGCTATTACAGAACGGTCACAGATATTCACATAGATGTAATGTTTTATCTCCTGGAATAATTTTCTAGTTGTGAGCTTCCTACGTACCAGATTTAGAAGGTTTTTGTTTTCCTAATGTTTGTCCACCTGGTCCAAACCCAGTTCCTGTCCCAACACCACCTGGTCCAAACCCAGTTCCTGTCCCAACACCGCCTGGTCCAAACCCAGTTCCTGTCCCAACACCGCCTGGTCCAAACCCGGGTCCTGTCCCAACACCGCCTGGTCCAAACCCAGTTCCTGTCCCAACACCGCCTGGTCCAAACCCAGTTCCTGTCCCAACACTGCCTGGTCCAAACCCGGGTCCTGTCCCAACACCACCTGGTCCAAACCCAGTTCCTGTCCCAACACTGTCTGGTCCAAACCCGGGTCCTGTCCCAACACCACCTGGTCCAAACCCGGGTCCTGTCCCAACACCACCTGGTCCAAACCCGGGTCCTGTCCCAACACCGCCTGGTCCATATCTGCCAGGTGCAGTGCCTGGTCCTCCAGGTCCAAATCCTGTACCTGGAAAACAACCTTGGAATTTAATTAGCTCCAGTGAGATTTCCTCCCCAGCCGCCATAACTTTAGCTGCTCTTAATGATGACAGAATAAAACCCAAACTTCAAGGAAAAACTTTAATTTTTTTAGTTTAATAAATTTGTTTCTATTTCAAATGAATATGTTTTGCTGTAGACTTTTAAGTTATGTATGTAAGCAGGGGGGAAATCAAACCGTATGTTAGTTTGAAGGTAGCTAGTTTTGTTTGTTCCTTTAATACCTTGTCCAAAGCCAGCACCACCCAATGATGATCCATAACCTGTCCATTAAATTCAATGGTTAGAAAGAAAAGACGTGTCATAACAATTAGCTATTATTAGATGATTAATGTGTGTTTCCTGTTGTAATACCTGTCTTTTGTGGTTTTCTTGTACCCAGTCCTTGACCTCCAGCAGCATAAACACCAGGGATGACCCCTGCTCCACCTGGTCCATATCCACCTGGTCCTGGGCCAACACCACCTGGCCCAAAACTACCAGGTCCAGTTCCTGCACCACCCAGTCCTGTGCCACCAGTGCCAGGTCCAAACCCACCAGGACCAAGACCAACTCCCCCTGGTCCTATTCCATAACTGCCAGGTCCAAATGCAGTACCAGCACCTCCTATTCCATAACCTAAAAACAAATATGGTTTGGTTTTATTCATTTCCATGAACACCTTTATCTGTTATCTGTGTTTGATTTGATCAGTGCTGTCATACTTTTGGGGGGTTTTCCAATTCCTGGACCTGTCCCATATCGAGAACCTGGTTAACATCAAACATGTAACCAGTCACATTCTGTTTAAACGTTTTACAAACACAAACAGCACATTTTCAATGTTTTACTTACCATCTGGTCTTACGCCACCACCATATCCTCCCAGTCCACTATCAACTCTTCCTGGTCCTGCTGCTCTTCCTGGACCAGTTCCCACACCAATAGTCCCTATACCTCCAGGACCACCAGCGGATCCACTTCCTGTTTGCCCTCCATAACCTCCAGGTCCTGTTCCAAATCCACCAGGTCCTGTACCATAGCCACCTGTTCCAGTCCCGTAACCTCCAGGTCCTAGCCCACCTAGGCCTCCTGCTCCACGAGCACCATATGCTGATGGAGACATTTTAGTTAATGTAGCTTTTGACTTACTCCATTCTAGATTAAACTAATAAGAGAGGACTCTTTGGAAGTTTATTCAACCTTTTCCTGCTTTTCCTGCTCCTTGTCCCACTCCGGCTCCACTGGGGTACCGTACGCCTGAGTTTGAAACAAAATATGTGCCATCTACCAGTTTGAGCTTTCTGTCTAATGTACAAATGTTAGTTATCGTACCTCCACCTGGTAAAAGTCCAACTCCACCAGCACCATAGCCTGTGAGAAATCGCATGTTAGATGTGCAAATGTTTATGTCAGTGAATCTCAGAAATCAAAATATGGAATGGATGCCAAACTACGTTTAAGACCAAAACATGAATGGAGCTAACTTTTTCCAGGTTTTGGGACTCCAGATGCAACTCCACCAGAGTCAGAAGCCCCAGGTACCAAGCTTGTTACTCCAGGACCTCCTCCAACTCCTCCTGCTAGCCCTCCAACTCCAACAGACCCACCTCCTGCTGGAGTTCCATCATGTCCATATGCTAGTTTATAATGGATAAAAGAAACACTCCTGTAGTGATTGAAGATTTTTCATTCTTCATAACTTAGGTAGCTTCCATATTGATTTAGCTGTGAGATTTATATTATAACGTTAAACCTGAATGTAGTTTCTGGGTACCTTGGGGTGGCTTTGGTGTTCCTCCTACAGCGGTGGTTATACCTCCTGATTGAACTCCAGTTCCACCACCAGGACTGTCACCTCGTCCGACTCCCATTACTCCACCCGAAACTCCTCCGGCTGATCCTGAACCAGTGGGACTTCCTCCAACTCCACCTGGTCTTCCAACTGAGCCATCTATCTCCCCATCAGGACTGCCTTCTCTATCTCCTTCACCTGGTGTGTCTCCTCTAGGAACACCTTCAAGACAGAAACAACAAAATGACAAGGACTGTCAAACCGTCAACGATAAGATCTGTGGCGTGTGACTTTCTATCACAGTTTGATTCTAGAACCTTTGGGAGGAGAATGCTACCTAAATTATTAATTAGGTAAGATGCATGTTGGTTTTTCCTAAATCTGAGATGTTAAAACGTGTTTTGTTTCATTAACCTGGAGGTTTGAGGGGTTTTGCATCAGGCAGGGCTCTGCTAGAGAGGTCACCACCAGGACCTGTCAAATTTAAAAGTGAAATCTGAGACCTCGTTTTTGTTCCAGCCACAAGGTTTCTACTGAGGATGTTTAATCTGAGTAAAGCAACATGTGCTGTGAGATGAGGATAAAATCTCACCTCTAGGGGGAAGTGCTGTCCCTCCTAAATTTTAGACAGAGAAAGAATTTACTGCATGAATAACTAAACTTTTACCCCCCCCCCCCCCCCCCCCAATAGAATAACTTACCAAATCCTGGCCTTACTGTGGGAAACAAGAGCAGAAACATTGTTAGAATAAATCTTTTCCACAGTGAGTTCAGTTAACATAAAGGTAATTGTACATACCACTAGGTTTAGCAACCACACCACCAGCTGTAATCACAGAAAGCCATATTCTCATAAGAATTAAAAAAAAAAAATCGAAAATATTAATTAATCAAAGATTACTCACCAGGAGTATCTCCTGTGGAAACTATAGGGCACGAGAGCACAAGAGTCAAATACAAGAGCTGTCTCCATCATAAAACTATGTATTTTTATAAATTTTCAACCAGAAATCACTGTTCTGTTGAAATGTGTTCAAGCTATAATCATCACACTCAAGTAAAGGCTTTTAAATAATAACAATGCAGATTTGCATGCACATAAAAAACTAACTTGGAAAATGTCTCACCTGAAATTGTGCTCCCATTGAATCCTGAATTAGAAAAAACAAAATAATTATACTGCTGCAATACTGCTAATACAAATACAAATACTTTTCACTATATTGTTAAATGTTAACATTTTCAAAACACCTTTAAAAAGGTTGTTTAAAATTGGCTTGCATCTGATGCACGTATACATTTAGAGAGGATGTTAAAAATACCAGGTTTCACTCCAATGATGGGGATTCCTGTTCCATTCAGACCATCTCCATCACCACCAACTGGCCTTCCAGCTACACCAGTGCCTCCTGTTTTAATAGTAATGAATCACACGTGAACATTTTTGTTTCATCTAAAGATCTAAAGCAATAAATTTGCTGTGGTCTCTAGAATGAACGAATGAACGCCTTGTGAGTTGTTATCTGTCGGAAAAAAAGCTTTGGCGCTCCTGTTTCAGGAAGTAGAAGTTATAGTCGAGGAGTGTGTGTGTGTGTGTGTGTGTGTGTGGGGGGGGGGAGTTTGGAGTCTTACTCATTGATACACACGATTTGCAAATACCTTTTAAGAAAACAAAGGTACAAAATGTAAGAATGAAGTAAGGATGACATCCTTTGGTCAAATTTGAGTATTGCAGTCCATTTTTGTTGACAAAAGCTCACTTTCTCTCTATCTAGTCACACAAAAAGTTGATGAATAGATAAATTCAATTCAATTCAAGTTTATTTTTATAGCGCCAAATCACGACAAAAGTTGTCTCAAAGTACTTCACAAAGTAAACATTCCAGTACAGTTCAGTTCATTAAGCCAATCAGTAAAAAGTTTCCTAAATAAGGAACCCAGCAGGTTGCATCGAGTCACTGACTAGTGTCAGTGACTTTACAGCTATCCTCATACTAAGCAAGCATGCAGCGACAGTGGAGAGGAAAACTCCCTTTTTAACAGGAAAAAACCTCCAGAGGATCCTGGCTCAGTATAAGCAGCCATCCACCACGACTCATTGGGGATCAAGAAGATAGAGCGGACACACACCAACGCCCCACCCACACACACAACATATATACCAAGTAGTGTTTCTATGGCTATATTGTGATTTCTTAGTAAATGTTCTACTTAGTGAGAGATAAACTTTATGAATCTTAGTGAATGTATAATTAATTCAATCAAAAATAAATAAATACATTGCCTTATCTGGCATTAGCACTCTTGAGTGTTTCATGGTAAGGATTTCTTACTACACTGATTACGGTTTTCCAAGGGCGTAGGAACCGGGGTTGTGATTGTTGCTTGTTTGTTACATTCTCATCACATTTCATTTTTAAACCTTATTCATGTCACTTTTTTCATATAAGAGACCAGAGGAAGTTCAGCAGGAAAATGATGAAGAAGGTGAGACAGGGAGAGCCAGACCTGCTGAGGGTGAGACAGGGAGAGCCAGACCTGCTGAGGTGCAGGTAGGTGCTACAGTGAAGAATGAGATGGTTTTAGGTTGCTGATGAGTGGAAGATTTGAATGTAATAATAAGTGAACACAGTTAAATATATGTAATCCCATAACAAGTAGGGCTGGGCAGTACGGTTTAAGAATAAATTACATTCTGTACACGCTTCCTTAGAAATATTAGAACAATAAGTGTTAAACTCTGCATTCTGGTGAACTTAGACTGCAATTTTGGCCACTGTTTTTTTCTTTTGTCCATCTGAAAAGTAATGTAGTTTCAGCTGTTGTAAGTGAATTATTTCTTTTTTCATTCTGTCAGAAGCAAATGGATTTTTCTCATTGTTGGTCAGCATTGTTGGCTGATGTAGTTTAAAATATTCTGATGAGAGTCAGATCAATTCAGACTGAATATTCACAGCTTTAGTCTTGTATTAAATCTGTTTACACATCTCTACCCATATGTATAAGATAATATATCCTACATTCATATTATTAAATAAAAATAAAACAGTACTGACACATAGACAGCTTTTTTATCATTAAAACATCTGCGTTGGCCGGTAATCACCTGGATCTGGCTAATGGGGAGCCTAAGTCTCCTCCCCTTCTGGCTGGCTCAAGGGTCCCCGATCAAAAAAACCCCCAGAATGTTAGTGAACGGGGCTATAAAAGTTATTTTCTTGTCTTTCTGGGCTTTGCCCTATGCCCAGAGTCACATCTGTCAGACTTTTCTAATCCTAGAGTTTCACCGTCTATCAGATTTTCTATCAGAAGCTAATGCAGGAGATAGCGGTAGGAGATTATGCTCATGTTCAGCCTGCATGAAACACTCAGTGACACATTAGAATCAGAAATAATCATTAAATGTATTTTTTTCAGTGAAGTTGACTATATATTGACCTACAACAGATTTGTTAGATTTCCAAAATGTGTGTCCCCCCCCCCCCCCCCCCCCCCCCCCCCAATAGTAAACTCGTTCCTACGCCCTTGCGGTTTTCAACCAAAACTTACTGTTGTTAATACAGAGAGTTGCCATTTTGGATGTCAAGGTCGGAGTTCTGAAATTCTTCAGAGTTCTGACTGGGAGGTCCATCTTTGGGAAGTGTTTCATTTGATTTTTTTCTATTTGGAGGTCAGGATTTCTGAGTTCCGAGGACTGATCAAATGCACTATTTGGCATTAGAGAAGTCTTGCCATCTTGTTAGCTTGCTGTTATAGTTCTGAACGACTTATTAAAGGAAATAAAAGGCCACAATTGACTCATTATTCACTTCACACATAGATTTGACTGTAACAATGAGTTGTTGGTAATTGGAAAATTAGCTTGAGATATTTTTAGAGCCTACTTTTTGCTTCTAATTTGTCGTTAGGATTGTTAGCTCAGTATTCCCCTGTAGCCTTTTTTACCTGATACTGGAATAAAACATAAAGAAGCTGTGATTTCTTAGGGTTAAAAGAAATAACTTTTGGGTCACTCTTGTTTACTAGCTTCTGTTCTTTAAACAACTCTGGAGCTGTTTGCCTGCCGGTGTTGAATCACACATGCCAGCACTGCAGCGCTAGCTCGGTTTAGAAACGGCAACTTCATAAACTCTCAGATTGTTAAAAGTGACTATGTGCCTCTTTAGTTTTATGATAGCAGAAAAAATGACAACCCCACAGCCAGCTGAGAAGAATTTGTTTCAATATAATCCTATTGTTACATATTGTTCCTTTCACTCACCTTCACCTGGTATTCCAGAGCCCTCTATCCCACTGGCATTTACATTATCAGCTGGAAGAAAAGACACGTGTAAGTAAATTTTGATTATTGCATTTAAGAAGTGAGATCAGCAATAATTAAAAACAACGTTTTTGAGAACCTTCAAGTAAATTTACTGTATTTATGTGTTCACTGTAACATCTAATACCTTCTGGTGATGGTGGCGGTGTTCCACTTGGGCCTCCAAACCTTTCTCCTGGCCCTAAACACAAATGTTGTCATACATATATGATCTAATTATTCACACTGGCTATGTGTTTCTAAAAAAACAGAGGTTTACCACTTGACGCTGCGCCACTGGTGCTGTTCCCTGAAACACCTGGACTGGTACCTGCTCCTGCACCAGGTGCTACTCCTCCTGGTTGCACTGAAATTTAGACAAGAGATCGTTTGAAATATTAACATTTGATGTTTGGAAACTGCAGGCCTTCTTAGCTAAACAGCATAATTATTGACTTTCAAAAGGGATTAATTCAGTTAGATTTAACATACCTGCACCTCCTGTCCCTGGTCCAAAGCCTCCTGGTCCATAACCACCTCAGAAAATATACAGAATAAAGGATAATTCACACTACAATTCCAAACTGTCTTAAATAATTCAACCAATCAGTCAATCAAATTGTATTTGTATAGTGTCTTCCACTGCCTTTACGGAAGCTCAAGGCGCTGAGCATAACATAATAGTAATAAAGAACAATAAAAGTATAAAAGCAGCATACAGAAATGACTAACATGATAAAACTGAGATGACAAAAGACTAAAAGTCTACAAACCAGATTACATAAAAGCCAAACGATAAGCGACTCTTGAAGACCTGCAGTGATGGCGGCTGTTTGATAACAAGTGAGATCGAAAAGAACAGAGAACAGAAAAACAGAAAAGGTAGAAGAACCAAAGATACGGTTCTTTCAATTGTCAAAGAAAAATATTCAGAACTAAAGGACTCAATACCTCGTCCTGCTCCACCTCCAAGTACACCACCGCTTTGACCTTTGAAAATGAAAAGCATCAAAAATGTCTTACTGAAATTTTGATCAAACGTTCATCACGGTTTTAATAAAATCACATTTTATACCGTATTTAGCAGGTTTCACTTTTGTTCCATAACCTGTTGATAACACAAAGGAGGAGGTTATATCACACCAAAAACTGCTCCCTAATAATTAAAAGTGCTCCAATAACCTGGTCCATATCCAGTCCCTGGTCCTGTGTAACCTCCACCTGGTCCATAACCAGTTCCAGGTACTGATCCAGCTCCCGGTCCATATCCTAACCCTGTTCCCAGTGCTCCCCCACTCCCTGGACCATAGGTGCCTGCCGTTGTGACACCAAACCTTCCACCCAAACCAGATCCAGGAGCTCCTCCACCACCAGGAAGCCCTATGGAAGGAATGAAGTTTCTTTTTGATAACAATTCATAGTAAGCTAGAGAAATATTTTTATCTAAGTATCAAGGTTAATTTCAGAGGTAAGGCTCTAGCATAGCATCAATTTTTTAATTAAATGTGTGCTTTATTCAAAAATAAGTCTTACCATATTTGAGAGACTTGGCCCCACCAGGATGTCCTGTGAAAGAAACCAGAAAAGGAAGAAACTATAATTGATGCTTTTTGTAGATGATTTATACCTTTGATAATTTACATAAATAACTTTTTTCCTTGACTTTCAAAAATTTAATCTACTTTGATTTGTTTGTTCATTCATTCGCTCATTTAGCTCCACTTATCCGGGTCCGGGTTGTCTCAACATCTCAAGTAGGGCATCCCAGATTGCCCTTCCCCCAGCCACCTCCACCAGCTCCTCCAGTCCTTTCAGGACCCCAAGTTGTTCCCGGACCAGATTGGAGAGGTACTTCCTCCAACGTGTCCTGGGTTGACCCGGGGGCCTCAGTCTGGCAGGACATGCCCGAAACAGCACCCCAGGAAGGCATCCAGGCGGCATTCTGACTAGATACCCGAACCACCTCACTCAGCTGGCTCCTTTCGATGCGGAGGAGCAGTGGTTCTAATCCAAGTCCCTCCCGAATCCGAGCACTTCACCATATCTCTATGGCTGTGCCCGGCCACCCTCCAGAGGAAACTTACTTCAGCTGCTTGTATCTGCGATCTTGTTCTTTTGATCACTACCCAAAGCTCGTCATGACCATAGGTGAGGGTCGGGACGAAGAACAACTGGTAAATCGAGAGCCTTGCCTTCTGGCTCAGCTCTCCCTTCACCACAACAGACCGGTTCGGCATCCACATCACTGCAGATGCTGCACCAATCCGTCTGTCGATGCCTCACTCCCTCCGTCTCTCCCTCATGAACAAGAACCTAAGATACTTTAACTTTGTTTGGCAAGCCACCCTTTTTTGGTCGAGAACCATGGCGTCAGATTTGGATGTGCTGATCCTCATCCCAGCTGTGTACACACCCAACAAGAGTTGGAGGCCGAGCCTGATAAAGCTGGGAGGACAACATAATCCGTTAACAGCAGAGACGAAACTCTCCTGCCAATAAATTCAACACTTGCCACACCATGGTTGCTCCAAGAAATTCTGTCCATAAAGATGATGAACACAAACGGTCTTCTCCAAGGTACTGGAGAGGAGGGTCAGATCAATAGTTGAATCTCGGATAGATGAGGAGCAGTGTGGTTTTCGTCCTGGCTGTGGAATTGCGGACCAGCACTTTATCCTTCCAAGGGCGAGGGAGAGGGCATGGGAGTTTGCACAACCGATCCACAAGTGTTTTGTGGATTTAGAGAGGCTTATGACCATGTCCCCAGGGGCACCCTATGGAATATGAGGTGGATGGCCTTTTGCTAAGGGCCATTCAGTCCCTGTATCAGAAGAACGTGAGCTTGGCCCGCATAGCCGGTAGTAAGTTGGACCTGTTCCCAGTGAGAGTTGGACTCCGCCAGGGATGCCCTTTAGTTCTGTTCATTACTTTTACTTATTTTGCATATTTTAAAGACAAGGTGACAACAATATATTTTTATGTTTATACCTCCAACACTGCCTGGTCCAAAGCCAAATGGTCTTCCTCCTGTTCCAAAACTAGAACCAGTGGTCCCTGCTGTCCCAACCCCTGAGCCAGGACCTCCACCAGTCGCCAGCCCAACACCTTGTCCAGGAATCCCTCCACCAACTCCCAGTCCAGGACCACTGCCAAGTCCTCCAGCACCAAGGGTACCTCCCACTCCCTCAGGCACTCCTGTAAGAGAAGAATTTTGGAGAGAGCTTCAACTAACTAGATTGTGCCGCCACAAACAACTTAGCAGCTGGACTTGATGACAGATTAGAAAATTGCTTAATCTATTGCAACTATAGCTTCATAACAAAAGGAAACATCTGAAGACAAATCATGTTTACAGCAGTATTTGGTTTCCCTTGAACAATCCCTTGCCTATCCATTCACTGGAATTATTTAAACTGCTGACTCACCATATTTTTGGGCTTTGGAACCTGTAAAATATTACAACATTAGTGAGAACTTTGTTAACAAAAACATCAATTCATATTTCTTGATTTCATTTTTGTTTTGCTTCTCAATTTACCTCCTGGTCCATAGCCAGTTCCAGCACCACCTGGCCCAACTCCTCCTGGTCCATAGCCAGTTCCAGCACCACCAGTTCCAACTCCTCCTGGTCCATAGCCAGTTCCAGCACCACCAGTCCCAACTCCTCCTGGCCCATAGCCAGTTCCAGCACCACCTGGCCCGACTCCTCCTGGTCCATAGCCAGTTCCAGCGCCACCTGGCCCAACTCCTCCTGGTCCATAGCCAGTTCCAGCACCACCAGTCCCAACTCCTCCTGGCCCATAGCCAGTTCCAGCACCACCTGGCCCGACTCCTCCGGGTCCATAGCCAGTTCCAGCACCACCTGGCCCGACTCCTCCTGGTCCATAGCCAGTTCCAGCGCCACCAGTCCCAACTCCTCCTGGCCCATAGCCAGTTCCAGGACCACCTGACCCGACTCCTCCTGGCCCATAGCCAGTTCCAGCACCACCTGGCCCGACTCCACCTGGTCCATAGCCAGTTCCAGCACCACCTGGCCCGACTCCTCCTGGTCCATAGCCAGTTCCAGTGCCACCTGGCGAGACTCCACCTGGCCTATATCCAGTAGCAGCTTCGCCTGGTCCTAATCCTAGACCTCCAAGCATCCCACTTAACATTCCTACAAGGAAAATAACAACCACATTTGATTAGTTTTGATGTATTTTTTAAATATATTTAAACACAAATTGCAGCTGCTGAAGTATCTTATTAATCTTACCATATTTACGAGCTTTGGCACCTGCATCATAACCTGAAATATACGTAATGTATTATGAAAATTTGTTTCTTTAAAACAACAAAGATGATTGTCTACACACTAGTTGTTTTTACTACTAGTTGTACATCATAGTAAAACAACTTTCAACATTGCATAACATTTACATGTCTAAATATTTTAGAACTGCATTTGGTGTTATATTACCTATATTATAATTCCCTCCAGGTCCAGTTCCTGGTCTTCCAATTCCTGTGCCAGTTCCACCTGGACCGTAGCCTTGACCACCTGGTCCAATTCCAGTGGCAGCACCACCCAGACCAAAACCAATCCCTGAGCCAGGTCCCACTCCTGTCCTAAGACTGACTCCTCCTAGCTGTCCACCTCCAGCGCCTCCAGCTGAACCAGTGCCTGGACCAAACCCATAGCCATCACCTGTGCCCCCTCCAGTGCTGAAGCCAGCTCCAGTTCCACCAGGTCCTACAACAAAGATTGAATGCCAATAAATTCTCATGTATATTTTTCTGATATCTTATATAAATTAACCTCACCATATTTGCGTGCTTTGGCTGAGCCAGGACCATAACCTGCACAACAAACAAATTTCAGTATAAAGTTGATAAAACATGCTTTGAAGTTAAATGATTTTTCATTGAAATAACAATTGTCTGATTAAAATGGCTTTGATTTGTAAAATGTAGTGTACAAGTTGAAACAACCTTTGATGGTTGTATTCTGTAAATGTTATCAAAATCAGATACTTTGCTTAAGATTTATCTAAAGCAGGTGTGATCCTACCTATTCCAAGTCCCACTCCTGTTCCAAATCCAGGTCCCACTCCTGTTCCAAATCCAGGTCCCATTCCTGTTCCAACACCACCCCCAACCCCAGGTCCCACTCCTGTTCCAACACCACCCCCTACTCCAGGTCCCACTCCTGATCCAACACCACCCCCAACTCCAGGTCCCACTCCTGTTCCAACACCACCTCCAGTTCCAGGTCCCACTCCTGTTCCAACACCACTCCCAACTCCCGGTCCCGATCCTGTTCCAAAACCACCCCCTAATCCAGGTCCCACACCTGTTCCAAATCCAGGTCCCAGTCCTGTTCCAACACCGCCCCCTACACCAGATACCCCTCCTGTTCCAACTCCCCCGCCTACTCCAGGTATGACTCCCCCTCCAGGAAGTCTTCCAGCCCCGCCCCCTAATGTGCCTCCCTGACCAATGGTGCCTCCTCCAGCTCCCCCTTAAACAGAAAAACAAATTTATATGAATTCAATAGTTTAACAGTTAACAGTCATGCATCAGTTTAGTTAGGTGGGCCTGTCTTACCATATTTAGCAGCTGCTTTGCCTGGTTTCTTTGATTTCCCTGTGCCTGAATGTAAAAGCATTAATAAACTTATTTAGGAGTTTAAATTAAATTCTTAAATTTACTATTGTTATCACCCAATGCCATATATATTATGGAAGCATTAGCAGCTGTGTACCTGATTTTGGTGTTATGAGTGGGTAACCACGAAAAACTCCTGGGAATTGTTGACCTCGCCCATCTAAAAGAAGACACATTAAGTAATTATAAGGTCCTCTTGAATGCTACAAAATACCCAACGAATTGTTGCCTGGGGAAAGGTACATATTCCTGACTTTTCGAATTAGAAACAAAATAACAAATGATATATTTTTTGTTATACACATACTGGCTGCTCCTCCTGGTCCTGCCCCACCTTGACCAAGTACTCCGGCTCCTGTAAAACAAGAGAATACTTTCTATTTGTAGGAACAGATACTTTACATGATGTACCAGGTTTAATCAACATAGAGCATGTTTACGTACCAGTTTGAGGCCCAAGTCCATTTCCTGTAACCACTCCTGGGAGAATGCCACGGCCTCCAAAACCTGACCAGGGAGAATTAAAACATATTATGCTGTCAGACTATTATTGTATTCCAAAATACATAACATATTTGTGTGTCATAAAATCTTTATTACAGCACACCTTGACCTGGAACAAATCCACCTTGATAGAGTCCAGGCACCCCAACTCCTGTGTGACACAACACTTTAAGAACTTAAGACACTTTTTGTTGGGTTGATCATTTACAATAATGCAATGATTTTTACCAAATTATTTAGTAAATTAGTTGTGATTTTGATAAGTGTACCTGGAACTTGCATTGATGCTTTACCACCACTCTTTCCTCCAGGTCCTCCACCAGTTGTACCAGTCTGTGGCAGCACTGGACCTGAATCAGAAACAAAATCCACTTTTACAGGCTAAATATTTTATAAACAATGCCTCAAAAATTAATCTGTATATTATGTTTGGCTAATTGTTATATTGATGTTTAACATTGTTAAGTAGATCAGATTTATACAAAACATCAGAATGTTCAAAGCCTACTTTCATTTAAATATTTTTTTCCTGCAAGTTTAACGTTATTTAACAAAATGTTCAAACGTACTGTGGAAAAGATGTATGTATGTGTGTACGTATGTACGTACAGAGGTATAAATTAATTTATGTTTGTATGTTCATGTACATAAGTGTCGTGAACACAATAGTTTAATAGAAATAATATTTACCGCCTCCACCAGGACCAACTCCTGCTTCTCCTGGTCCAAATCCTGTACCCCCAGGACCAACTCCTGCTCCACCTAGTCCAAGCCCAGTTCCACCTGGTCCAAACCCTGCTCCCCCAGGACCGATTCCTGCTCCTCCTGGTCCAAATCCTGTACCCCCAGGACCAACTTCTGCTCCACTTGGCCTGAGCCCAGTTCCACCTGGTCCAAACCCTGCACCCCCAGGATTAATTCCTCCACCACCTGGTCCAAACCCTGCTCCCCCAGGACCAACTCCTGCACCACCTGGCCCAAGTCCAGTTCCACCAGGACCAACTCCTGCTCCACCTGGCCCAAGTCCAGTTCCACCAGGACCAACTCCTGCTCCACCTGACCCAAGCCCTGTACCCCCAGAACCTATTCCTGCACCACTTGGCCCAACCCCTGTTCCACCAGGGCCGTAACCTGTTCTTCCAAGTGATGTTCCAACACCACCTAAAATAACAAAAGAATAAATTCAGTCATATTTCAGAGATAAACATGCATAAAGCTGAAGAATGAATATACTCACCAGTCTTGGGGGGTTTGGGTCCATAACCCCCACCATATCCTCCATAGCCACCTAGTCAGACAAGTGTATTGTTATAAAAACACATGAAACCTCATTGTTTCACTTAGTTAGACCAAACTAAATTTTGACATCATCTATGATTCACCTAAAGTATTTATTAAACATTAAATGAAAATCACTTACCTCCAGGTATGTAGCCTGCTCCAGCTCCTTGACCCAGACCAGTACCAGGACCTCCTGTACCAAGGCCTCCTCCACCCAGCCCCCCTGCTCCAAGGCCTCCATATCCTAGAAAGGAATATATTCATTTGATGCATTACTGACCTAAATCAGGGGGTATTGTTATTGGATCATCTACGTCTACAACTGAATTAATTAGGCAGAAATTCAATATGGCTGCCACAGCATACAATCACAATATAGTCAGTATTAGAGATGTATGGCAATAATGTGTGGTGTTAGTAGAAGATAACCATCCCAAACACATATCCAAGCAAGTTACTGACTGGTTAATTGATTTTGCTGTGAACCTGACTCAAGACAGCATTCGTAAACAATTTTAGCAAACATAAAAATGGATAAAACTCAGTCAAGTTTGCAGTTGTTTGCAACACATGCAGGTCTTGTACTTTTAAAGTTCCTGTCCAGGGTTTATAAAAAGCTTTTCTTCTATTACATGTTTGGGTAAACACGAACATTTTCAAGGTTGCTCATTTGGAAAATTTGGCATAATGTTCTATTTCCTATTCTTATACTGACTTGTTTCATAACCACTGAATGTGGATTTCAAAGCAGCAAGACTTAACCTTTGGATATCATCACCATCATTCGTCATCCTGCACAGGCAGCTTACACATTTAAATGATAAAAACAGAGAGTCCCTAAATATCAAAGCAAATCAGTCTCTCTGACTGGCATGGCAACTTTCACTCTTCACGCCTTGGCTTTTATCTCTACGTGTTTGCTTATGAGGGTGGGTCCCCCTGAAACAAAAGCTTACAATAGTTGAGGTAATAGGAAATGAAATAACACTGCATGTATGAGCTCTTTATCCTGCTACACTGAGATGACAGAAGAACAATATTTATAGTTCAAGGACAGATGATAAACCCACGAGAAAAGAACCAGAACAAATTATTCTTAAGGTGACATCATACAAAAACACAGGAGGGTTCAAGCAAATGCTGCCTTTGTGTCTCTGAACATGCTTCAGCACTGATTTAATGCTCTAATTGCACATTAATAATTTAAATTCTGTGTAAACTGTAATTGATTATAAATCTGACCTTCATCATGACAAAGTCTGCATGGATGGTGAGTGTTTGTGAGAGTAACCAAGTGATGTTTCTGATTGTGTTTTAGGCATCTACGTAGTAATTAATCCAGATTTTTTACCAGTGTGTTTTTTATCTGACCCTACAAAAAAGAAAAATATGCAACTTTGTCTAAGAAAAAAATGTACCTGGACCAGTGCCTGTTTGTCCAAAACCACTTGGACCAACTTCACCAGACCCAGTTCCATAGCGTTGAGGACCAAAACCACCTTGTCCATATCCTCCGGTCCCTACACCTCCTGCTCCCAGTCCTGCTCCCTGTCCACCGTAGCCACCTGTTGTAAACATATAGGATAGCATGCCAACAAAATGGTTTGTAGTATGTTTTCTAATTGACGTGGAAACATCTTAACTTGGCAATCGTATTTTATTTGAATTGTATGGCCTTTGGTGGCTTTTGGGGTCCTTTTCTGTAGATATTACCTGTTTTTGGAGGTTTCCCACCTGAGAGACGAAGACAGTCATGTTACTTTATTAGTATGTGATATAAATCATTTACATATCAGATGTCAATCAGACATTAGAAAAAATGGAATACATGATCAATCAAGTTTTTCTCACCAGCCCCAGGAACAATCCCTCCTGGTCTGATTCCCCCTGACCCAACTCCTCCTGGTCCGACTGACCCTGGTCCAAATCCTCCTGGTCCGACTCCTCCTGGTCCAATTCCCCCTGGTCCGACTCCACCTGGTCCAACTCCTCCTGATCCGACTCCTCCTGGTCCGACTCCTCCTGGTCCGACTCCTCCGGGTTTGACTCCCCCTGGCCCAAACCCCCCTGGTCCAACTATTCCCGGTCCAACTCCCCCTGGTCCAAACCCCCCTGATCCGGCTCCACCAGGTCCAACTCCTCCTGATCCGACTCCCCCTGGCCCAACCCCCACTGGTCCAACTCTTCCTGGTCCAACTCCACCTGGTCCAACACCTCCTGGTCCAACTCCTCCCAGTCCTACACTTCCTGGTCCAAACCCCCCAGGTTCTTGTCCACCATATCCTCCTGAAATATAAAGGGAAAGTGGGCTGAAAACAGACTGAGACAAACCAAACAATATTACACATATAACAAAATTGGAAAAAGACAAAAACTGTCAAACCTACGGCTGGACAATAGTGTCTTGTTAAAATCAACACCAGGAATCTTTCATTATCTTTGAGAACATAAAATATTTTTTCCTCCAACAATTGAACTTAAATCATCATTTTACACAAGCTTAAGTGATTTCAAAAGAGACTTATTTTTAATTATAAGCTATTCTTAAAAGTGTCACTTCTCAAATTCATGGCGTCTCTGTAGGCTGAACTCATGATCCATGAAACTGAGCAGTAAGAAATCAGCATCTACCTCCACCTTGACCAACACCTTGTCCAACTCCACCACCAGGTTGGAAACCAGTTCCTCCAGGGCCAAATCCTGTTCCTGTGCTGCCTGGTCCAAACCCAACTCCTGCAACAGCTCCAGCTCCTCCAGCATTTGGTATGTATACACCTTAATGAAAATATTGAGTATCATGAACAAAGATGTCAACTCTTGTTTACAAAAGTTTTTTTTGTTTTAGGCTCCTGACCAACAATATTTTTTTTCAAGGCACTCGAGGAGTACAGACGCTTCTCTCTTTTGCTCCCTTATCTTTTTTTTCCCAAGGCTCTTTGTCCTGTCTGCCCACAGAGCGCTTCTCTGCATTTCTTCTGAAAAACTCTATTTTAACTAACCACGGATTTAATAAACTGGTCATTCAATGCGATTGATAAGATTTTTTCGACAATGAGAACGGAGCAGGGGGCTCCCACATGCCCACAGGGGACACACCCGGTGGGATATATGTTGGATTCCTGGAAGGAGTGGAAGATCATATGCCTCAGCCAGCTGTCCATTGAGGATATCGAAGATGTGTGGATATTCAGCCTGACGATCACTGGATTTCTCCTGATTGGAGCGGGAGGATATCTGGTTTTCTGGAAATTTGGGAAGACGGGAGCGATTGAAGGGCGACCCGCACCCACGGAAAGCACCGTGCATGTGGAGATTTCTCAGACTGGGACATTACTCGAGGTGAATCGTAAGCTGGACAATGTTCTAGCTGCAGTACCGGTATTAGTGCGCAAAATGGATGTCATCTCGGAGAGAGTCACCGGATGGTATAGACAGGTTTAAAAACCCAAAATTGGCTTCACTGAAGGACTGGAAATGATCAGTTTAAAGACTGAAGGCAGACAGGAAAATTATCTCAGCCTGACCCAAGCAAATTCTTGTTATCTGAATCTGACGCCCTGGTAGCCTTGAGCTGCAAGCAAAGAAAACCCCCACGAAGGAATGCAGACAGGTGCTGTGAACCCCCCATCCACCCCCACCCCCTTCGGCTTGGTGGACTTCAGCCTGGCAAGGTCATCAATCTGTAGGAGTCAATGTACTTTTTGCTTCTCCCAAGATCTCCCTCCCACCTGTGACTGTACAGTAGATGAGCGCAGTAGATGGCTGCTCTCACTGGGGGAAACAGGATCCCAGACCCCCACCCCCACCCCACCCCCCCACCCCACCCCGCCCCCACCTTCCTATTGGAGTTTCATGTTATGCTGTGTTGTCTGAAGTCTGTTGCATATCTGTTGAGGTGTTTTTTTTTGCAGAGCAAAGCTGCCCTCTCGGTGGAGGGTAACTCTGAAATGACTTTTTTTCCCTCCATCTGAACCAATCCTCATGTTACCCTCTTATCTCTAATAAGGTAGCGTGACTCGGGTTGTGAATGACCACAGTCACCAATTCTTGTCATGTGTCTTGCCCATGCATGTCTGATCTCTGAATTGAGTGTACTGAAACTCTAATTTCCCTCTGGGATTAATAAAGTATTGATTGATTGATTGATTGATTGATTGATTGATTGATTGATTGAATGTAAGTCATCACACTGAAAGCTTAATTTGTCTGCTGTGGATCTTTCAATTTTATCCAATAAGAATAATTTATTTAAACAAGTTAAAACTGTTACACACACAGAAAGAGAAGGATGTATACTTGTGTTTAGTGTGTGTGTTTAGTGTGTGTGTGTGTGTGTGTGTGTGTGTGTGTGTGTGTGTGTGTGTGCCTGTGTGTGTGTGCCCATGTGTGTGTTCTCACAAGTGCTGTTTATCAGCTGTGACTGGGTTTCTCTGCAGCTGATAACAAACAATGCTTAATCTGAAAGGCATGCACCTCTGCTCATAATTCACTTTTCTGCACCTATGTTTGTGTTCAATACGTCCTGCTGCCAAAAATAGAAACACATGTGGGGAACAACTATAAAAGGAAAGGTTTGTTGAGAACCCACGGTCCAGATGTGAAAAGAAGTGGTCTGTAGGGATTCTTAAAGAATGCAAGTAACTGATGTCACAGTAATGCCATGCTCATTTCCAACACTCAATAAATTACTCAGCTGCTCAGCCATTTAATCCTGCCTGATGGCTACAAGAGAAGCTTTAGTTGTTTTTAAACTGACTGGATGATTTAAAACAAAAACACATTCTAATTAATCTAAAGAATATTTACTGTTGGAAAATCATTTCCTCTATAATATCTGAAATATCTAATTAGACAAAAAGTGAGTTTTGTTGTGTTTTATGGCTTTTCACAAACTGGCTCTAAGAATGCATTAAATTACTGATCCCTCTTCTGCAACCGGTTGGTTAAAGTGAACCATCAGATTGAAACCTGCTGCTTGTTTTCTTTTAATTTTGCAACTTTTGCCAACTTTAGCTCTGTGATGCATAGAAACTGTTTGGTTATTACCTCAGGTTGCAAAATCCATGAATTGGTCTCACGTGTTTGTTATCATGCTCAGAGAAAACTACTGAGTATTTTCAGTTCCTGTTATCAGATGAAGATACATCCTGATGGCTGAGGAGATGCTGAGGTTGTTAACAGTGCTTCCTCGCTGCTAAAAGGCTTTAGTTTACTGGATCCTCTTCCGCAGCTCATTTCCTGACAGTTTTACACTTGTCTCTTAGTTAATTTGGACAAACGCTCCAGCAGACCTGCAGAGCAGATAACAGCTTTGGCTTGTTGTCTTTACCAGGTGGTTTTAAACATGAACGAATAAATTCTCTGACTTTGTTTAAAAGATAAATGGCCAAAGCTTTGACGGAAAGCAAACTGTTTAGGTGTTCGGGATTCTTTACAAGGCTTCTAAAATCTAAAGGAAATTCCTTGGTGGTGTTGGGATTTTCTAATTTAGGCTTAAACCTGAATATATATATATATATACATATATATATATATAAACACTCATCTTGTGTATTTGATTGAAATTTCAGTGTTTTGTTTTCCTCAAAAAGCTGCAAGGATTCACATAAACCCAAAGCTAAATATAAAAGAAGAATTGAGGTAAAACTTTATAGAATTACAACTTTAACGGATGTGGCTAAAAGTTTTGATTATTCCATAGAACTCTTTAGCTTATAAAATACACCCTTAATTTAAAAAAAATCTAAGACAATAAGATAATTTGTTATTCTGAAAACTTAATTGAGCTCAATAAAGTTCTGCTTTTTTCATAATTCTTTTGTTAAAACCAAAGAGTATGAATTCTTTAGTAAAGTCACAAGTTTTTTGATTAAATGAAGATGCATTACATAAAATCATAAGAAGATGTGCTCCACATTGAGTGCAGTGGGTCATTTCTTTCTCATGGAAAAATAACATTTCTCTATTCTAAATTCTGGAGTTCCTAACTTGTGATGATTTTGACCTGCAAACCTGCTTTTTATCTGATTCATTCAGCAGAAATACGACAAACTGACTTGCAGTTCTGCTAAAAATTGAACAAATAAGCAATATATACAATTTTTGAAATATGATTGGACATACCCTTCCATTCACACACACACACACACACACACACACACACACACACACACACACACACACACACACACACACACACACACACACACACAAAATGCAGTTATTGTAGACTCTATAAACCACAGGTGACTCTTGACCCACAGGTGCTGCACAGCAGAGAGCTGTGCAATGAAGGGGACCCACCTCCTTGCAGCGAAGGTTTCCACAGAGCCAGGAGAAGCACTCCATGCAGGTATGTGGCCACCGTTCCTCTTGCCATCTCGCTCCAAAATGTCACTCACCTCCCCCAGGCTCCAGATTTTATCCCCATGCAAGCCAATCAAGGACTTTAAGGAAAAAAGGAGGGGTATAGAGTGAGAGAAAAAAGAAGGGGGGGCTGCAAAACAGGATACTATGTCAGTTGGCCAAGCAGTATAGGGAGAGAGAAAGACGAGGAGAGAGGAGGAGAGAAAGAAGAAAATCACACAGGATCACCTTGTTAAACCAAATGGGTTATTTTAACCCTCCAAAGACCGTTGAACTGCACTTAATGATGATTCACCGCCAAGAAAAGACAGAACGGACGTCTGAGAGAGGGAAACCAAGAGTGACAAGAGGGTTTAAGTGTTTAAAACATTGTGTCACTGTGTCATTTTCCTCTCCTTTACAAACAAAAAGGTCCCTGTGCCAAAGGTCTGTTATAGATTTCTAAACAATGAAATGGTAAAAGTAAAAAAAATATATGAAAAACTGTCATGCAGTATAAATACAGGCAGCGTGAGATTAAGATTATCTCCAAATATGAAGGATGGACATCCAACTAAACGCCGTCTGGCAACAATCCAAACATAAAAGCTTCATGCAAAAATAAAGAAGCTAAAAAAAAAAACTACGTACATCCGTGAAGTAATTCAAATCAGGACAGGGGGCATGAGGGATGGGTAAAAAAAATCAAACTGAGACACGAAAACAAATATGAGGTAATGCAGAAGTGAGAATGAGTTCCACGAGGACTCTAATCTATAAATCTTGTTGTCCTTTGTGCTTTTGCAGAGTCCCATAGGCTGTTCAGGATGCCTGGAAGTAATCAGTGTTTTTGTTTCAACCAGTGGTATTAATAAGGTTATCTCCGTGTTTGGGCTGGATGTTCTTGCTCCGGTTCCTCGAGGCCAGTTCCAGAATCTGGCAGAATCACTGAAAAGTTTCTTTCTTCTTAAAATGTAAGGCGGTAAATGAGCTAATGGCACCTTACAGGGTCTTGGGATGAGTGAAACACTCAAATTCCCCTTTCTGGCTGAAAAATGTTGCTGTATTGTTTTGTGAGTGAACTCTTTTATTCACTTCATGTAGGAGAGCAAGGCTATCAGGTGTGTAAACGATCCCTTTTCAGACATGTGACCATGAACACCTGGGGAACCGAAGCCGCAGAACTCACTATAAAGTCAAAACTCTTTTAATGCACTACACTGATTCTCAACACAGTAAAAGACCATTGCTTTTAGACATTTGATCTTATTTTTAGTCTAAAAAGAAAAAAAAATGTTCTTATCTGCAAAAACAGCTCTGCTTGAAAATAGATAAATGTGATCCAAATTTCCTTGTTTGCATAGAAAACATCTGCCAATGGGGTAAGCAAACATTGCTTGGCTAGAATTCTTAAAACTAGCAAATACCTTATTTTTTCCAGTGTTAAGGATCCTAGCCTTGCTTGCCCTATTGGCAGATTTTTTTTTACTCAAAACCAGAAAATTTGGATCATATTTAAGAAAATGTACCTTATTTTAAGTACTGCTGTTTTTGCAGACTTTAACATGTTTTCTTTTAGACAAAAGTAAGATTAAATATCTAAAAACAAGGCTTTTATTCATCCATCCATCATCATCCGCTTATGTGGGGTCGGGTCGGATCGTGGGCGCAGCAGCCTAAGCAGGGAAGCCCAGATTTCCAGAGTCACTTGGGTCGGCTCCTCCGGGGGAATCCCAAGGCGTGTCCTGGGACTTTCTTTAGATCTCTTCCCAGTTGGACGTGCCTGGGAAATCTCACTAGGGAGGCATCCTAACCAGATGCCCAAGTCACTTCAGCAGGCGAATCTACTCTGAGCCCCTCCCGGATGACCAAACTTCTCACCCTATCTCCAAGGGAGAGCCCAGACACCCTATGGAGAAAACTCATTTCGACCGCTTGCATCCGCGTTTCCTTTCCATTCTTTCTGTCACTACCCAAAGCTCGTTACCATAGGTGAGGGTTGGAACGTTGATCGACCGGTAAATCGAGTGTTGCCTTCTGGTTCAGCTCTCTCTTCGCCACAACAGACAGGTACAATGCTCGCATCACTGCAGACGCATCACCAATCCACCTGTCAATCTCACGCTTTATCTTTCCTCACTCGTGAACAAGACACCGAGATACTTGCCTCCACTTGGGGCAGCACCTCGTCACTGACCCGGAGAAGGCATTCTACCCTTTTTTATTTTTTGCAGTATCCATCCATCTGAAACAGAGTAGATACACTTGGAAAAATTGGCTTTAACTTTTGTTTGGAGCAGCTCAGTATATTTGTGTTCAAGACTTTACACTGATTTAGTGTTTTAAAGGGGGAAAAGGGCAAGGAGTCCTGCCTGATTACCCAAAATTGGTCCTGAAATGTAGTTTTACTGTTCCATTTTCAGACCTGGTGTGCTTTGTGTTCAGCTTTGATGGAACTACATAGTAATGCGGTGAACTAATGTGGAAGTGATATTAATAATGATAATAATCACTAAAGAATGTGCCACGACAACTCCAGTCTTCAGCGTTGCAGTCATTAATACAGGTGGAGCATCAAAACTTAGAATAGACATTTCATTTCACAGTTCATCTAAACTTTCTTCACCAAAGTCACGTGTTGCAAATGATTTTCATGATTTCTTTAATACAAGAATTTGACTCAAATACCCTAAAGTTTGGTTTTATAAACCCTTTTTTCTCTACTGTAATATTTTCTGTTCAGCCTTTTCTATGACTCTGACAATATAACCATTCAAAAGATGAATGAAGGGTTTCTCATCCTAAAACCTGAAAGCGACATGAGGAGTAACACATGGGCGTTAATGAAACATCTCAGTGTGCTTTGACATAGAAATCAGATATTTTAATGCATTCTGAGTGCAACTTTCCACGGCCGTTCGTTCTTCGTGGTGATGTCATTACACTCAAACCTGAATACCTAAACACAGACAGGAACATTCATTCAGTCTGAGTTTCATTTTTGTTTTTCCTGCTCCCACTCAACACCTGACGCCATGCAAGTCAAGTGAGATGACTTTAAACTCTACGTTTGATCTTAAGACTTCTTTGACTGACGGATACTCACCTAATCCTAAGAAGAGGAAAGGCTGTAGTAGGAGTACAAGAGGGTTTACACAATTGGAAGTAGTCATCCCTTTCTTTGATGAAATCTTGCACAAATCTTGAAAATGGTGAGATAAGAAATGATAATAAAACTCTTAACTCTTCAAGGCTTTGGCACTTAAGAATTTTATCCTCATTTAATATTTCAGTTGATCCCTAGCACTTTAGTTTTAATTTAAATTTGTAATAAGAATATCTGCAGGAAGTTCGAATGTTCTTTCTGCTCTTTTCTCCAACAGTCCAACAACATGCATGATGCATGTTGGAATAATTAGCTATTCTGTAATGGACTGGTGAAACCCATCCACCCACAGGCTTAAGACCAAAGATGGTGGATCATTTGTTGCTGTGCCCCCCCCAACTCTGGAACTTTCTTCTTCTGAGCCTGAGATCAGCGGACTCTGTGGTCTCTAGAAAAAAGATGGATGAAAACCTTTGCTGATTCAGTTGTACCACATAGAATCTATGAAAAATGCATGACAGATCTCCATCTTACTGCTGACCAGCTGCAGACAGGGTCCAATGTTGCATGTTGCACATAGAGTGCACCTTTTCCTCTCCTGGCTTGTCAGGAAAAACAAATGTTGGTTATGACAGCAAAACTATTTTGTCCACATCTGGATCCTCCTCAATAAATCTGGAAGGATTTTGTCTCTTTCTGAAAGATTTTCTGAGTGTTATTCCTTCCAATTACTTTCTAAATAAAACACAAATCTAATATAAAAATGAAAACCTCAGTGGAACACAGCTGAATAAACAAACTACAGCTGAAAAAAATAGCAAAAACTCTAAAATATATCAGAATCTTTACTAATTTTACTATATGTATATATAAAGTACAAGATACCATTGGAAAATGCAGGGCCTCAACTTTCGGAATTTATTTGAATGACATTCATTGAAGTCATGCTGCATCTGTGCAGACTCACTAGCATTAAAATAACTGTCCACATTTTTTTCATCTAATGGCACCATCTAGTGGCTGGCAAGCGCATCACACCAGGACCTACTCTTCATTTCGGTATTGACGGCCAAAAGCAACGACTCTCGTTTATGAACGAGCTTCTCTTGCCGACAAATAGTTTTTTATCTAAACAATTATTATGCTCCCGCTATGTTGTGTTTACTAGGAGAGCGGCGTCTCCGGATAAAAAAAGAATTTGGATTGCTTAAGCTATGAAGTTGTTTGTTATCAAAAACCCACATCAGACGCTATCTGTGTGTCTACATTATCCGTATTCAGAGAGCCTCTTGGTGGATCTGAAAGTCAGAGAGGTCGGATGACCGCTGGCACCGGAGGGCTGTAGAATTGCGTGGTACCGATCCTTTCAGTCCAGAGATGTTTCGGGTCACGACAGACGGATGGAACCGAGCGTCTGGGACTCTTAGGCCTAGTCCACACGTAGCCGGGGTTTTTTAAGAACGAATATCCGCCCCTCCAAAAACTTGCATCCACACCACCGCGTTTAAAAAAAACTGTCCACACGTACCCGGATAAATACGTTGTTAAGGACATGCCAGACCTGTAGGCGGCAGTACTTCCCCCGTTCTTAACCTCGTCCTTCGTCTGTGGTCTTCCGCAAGGAGCAGTAATTCCGCTTGCAAAAACAAACAAGCAGAAAGCGCTTGGACAATTGATGGATCGGGTAGTGACAGAGCGCAGCTCTGAGGGCTTCCATGATCCCGGCTAGTGTAAACACAGGTCGCACACGTGATGTCAGCATTTTTTTGTCGCGGAAAGTGACGTTGCGGACCTTAAAACTCCGGTTTTGTCTGTCCACACGCAGACACCCAAAACGGAGAAAATGCAGATCTTCACTTTGGCCGGAGTTTTTAAAAAGATCCATTTTCGTGTGAACAAACTCAGTTTTCGTGTGGATGACAGGCCAAAACGTAGAAAAATATCTGCATTTTGGCAGATCCCCGGCTACGTGTGGACAGGGCCTTAAGGAGTCTTACGGTCTCAGCTTTGTTCTGCAGGAACTATTTTTGCTGCCTCAGCTTTGTAGGTGCAAAAAGGTTTTGATGACATGTCAAAATCTTTGATGGTTAAGGAGGTTTGGCTACAAATGGCCGGTCTGAAGTTTTCTCTAGAACTGCCAAATTACTCAAAGTGTTCTAGTTTTAAGGAATTGATATTATGATTTTCACAGCCAGTCAGAGGCTGA